TTAACTAAAAATTATAAGTTACAGAGAATATATATATATAAACAATTACATTAAATATACAGACCTATTTCAGTTGATATTTTATAGTGTGTCTTTCTATGTTGTGATGTTACACTATTGTTTCAGGAAAAAGGGTGAAGGTTTGGTACCATTAAAACGTTTAAACCCGCTGCAATTGTTTGCACCTGTCCTTAGTCAGGAATCTGATGTTCAGTAGTTGTCGTTTGTTGATGTGGTTCATAAGTGTTTCTCGTTTCTCGTTTTTTATATAGATTAGACCGTTGGTTTTCCTGTTTGAATGGTTTTACACTAGTAATTTTTGGGTCCTTTATAGCTTGCTGTTCGGTGTGAGCCAAGGCTCCGTGTTGAACACCGTACTTTGACCTATAATGGTTTACTTTTATAAATTTTGACTTGGATGGAGAGTTGTCTCATTGGCACTCATACCACATCTTCTTATATCTATATAAAGTATTGAATTACAGACTACATGTAACCAGGAAGAGTAACCCTCACATTTATTTTTTTTTATAAATCTACATAGTTTCTCAAGAACAATATAGTTACTCGAGCTCATTAACTGTTGAAATTTATAAATATTTGGACAAACAGTACAAAGGTGTGGTAACAACCTGTTTCTGTCTTGATGAAGAACATTACATGATATGACATAATGATATTCATCACTGATGTCTCTTCATTTGCAAAGATGGCACAACCTATCATTTCTGAATATGTTGTTCCACCTTCCCGTATCAAATATCACAAACATTTTTTACCATTGATATCCATTTAGATTTAAGACATAGTTGTGAAAATTAATATACAATAGTTTATATAAAAGACATGAAATTTTACTTTCTTTACCACACAGTAATCTACATAAGAAACTAACCATACGAACTTTGGCATTAAGAATCACAGGATATCTACCCAATTCTGCATAAACAATACAGCTAGATGTACTCTGTTTTAAGTGTAGAACAAGCTTACAAAATTTTAAATGAACACGTTCTATCAAATCAAAATTTTCAAATCCCCAAATTTCCAAACCATAAAGAAGATAGGTAAAACTATTTTATCAAACATGTCTAACTGACATTCTCTAGTTAAATTGTTTTGTCTACATTTTTAATATACCATACATTGATCATAAATCGTTTAAAAATATTGCGAAAAGAGCAGGGGAAAGATTTTCTCCCTGTCTTACACCCATTTCACAAGCAAATAACTCTGATTTATCACCATTAAAAATAATGCGTGAGTTTACATTTTCGTACATATTTTGTATAATACGGAAAAGTTTGCCGTTTATATTATTCTCTAAAAGTTTAAATAATAAAAAATATCTCTGAATAAAAATCAAAGGCCTTTTCAAAGTCGACAAAGGCAAAGTAAAGTTTTTTCTTCCTTAATTTAAGTTACTCAAATAGTGCATACAATGAACATAAATGATCAGTAGTTGAATATTCATGTCTGAAACCGGCTTGGTTATCTAGTAAAATAGAATACTCATCAAGATAATCACATAATCTAGTGTTCAAAACAGAAGTAAAAATCTTGCCAAGACAAGACAAAAGAGTAATAGAACGGTAATTCTGTGGTTCGGTATTACTACCTTTGTTCTTAAAGATTGGTGTGACTTTACCTATAATCCATGCCTCGGGTAAAATACCCGAATCAAAAATAATATTAAATATATACAAATAAATATCAATCATACAATCAATAGAAGAAGAAATGTATTCATTTACAATCATATCGTCACCCGACGATTTGTTATACTTAATATTTTTTATAGCTTTCAATAGTTCTTCAGCTGTTATACTTTCATTTAACATAGAATTTGAAGATTCTTGGCCAATATCATTATTAATATCATAAGTATCTCCCTCATAATTATTTTTGTTTATATCTTTAAAAAAAAGTTAAAAAATGACACAGTGGTGATATTACAATTGTTTTTATGTTTTACTTTATTCCAAATTTTCCAAAATTCCCTTGGGTTTTTTAATTGCATATTTCTTATCTTCGTGCGCTAGTTTTCGTTATAGAGTTTGATATTCTCGGCCATAACTTTTTTGTAATGTTTTTCTGACTGTCGAAGTCTTTCTTTAAATAAATTAGATACATGATGTTTATAAAGTCTTCGGCTTTTTCGAAATTCGTGTCTAACTTTTTTACCGTCTTTATTTAACCAATATTTGTTCGAAAAGTTCCCTTTCCCGCCAGTGTTTTTAGAATTTTTAGTAAATACCCAAAATGTGTCTTTTGTAGTACTCAATAGAACAGTCATAATATCACTTACAATACCATCTACAATACCTTGATCAACTAAACTAATATCTTCATATTTAGACATTACATTTAACAATAATTCGTTTACTTTATCAACATGCATATGTTGTTTTTGTATTCAATTGTCTTTTCATGTTTCCATCTACCAATGTGTACATTACTGTCATTAATTACTTTACTTTCACCTTGTGTATTATTAAAACCATTTACAGTTCAAGACAATCACAAAGGAGAGTGTATATCTGAGAATAAATTTCAAAAATCAGAAACTTCAAAATTATCTGCTTAACATAAAATACTCGCAGTACATACTATATAATCTACTACACTAACTCTTCGACTATACGTTTACCAAGTTCTCGGTCTTTACCGACTCTTCCATTTAAAATATACATGTGATTATTTTTACAAAATTCAATTAATTTTCTTCAATATTTATTGATAACAGTACCAGTACTATTACTTATTCAAGGTATATTAAGATAGTATAAGACACGAATGTCATTAAACTCATTTACATCTATAAAATCAGTTAATCAGATATATCGAAAAAATCTTGTTCATTTTCAGTGCGGCTATTGAAATCACCAGAGACATATATACACATATGTGTTTATATGTCTCTGAAATCACTAAGAAGAAAAATACAGCTACTATTCTTTTGTAGTTCAAGAGATTCTATTTCAATTTCTGACATTGCATTTTCAGATGTATAACGAGTATTTTCAGGCGGTTTATACACTATACCCATTATTATATCATCTTCTGTTCTTAATTGATATTTTAATAAAACCTTAGTTAATTAATGAGGCTTCAGATTTCCTCATTGATAGATAAATTAAATCTTATCTAATAAGGCTTCAGATTTCCTTATCGTGTAATAAAAACGTGTCTTTGGTTTTCAATTTTCGTTTTAAAATAATTAGAACGTCAGTTTCATCTTCTTGAACTGTTAATTGACAATTTTAACCACAGTCATAAAACAATGCGTGTATTCTAAAGAAAATTTATATGTACTATGAAGTAATTCCGTTCCTATATGGGTCATTTTCAAAAAATGTCGAATTTTCAGTACACCCATGCTAAAATTTTTATTTTTCATGGAAATTGCAGCTGTAAGGGTTTAAATGAAAGTTTGTAGGATTTACGAGTCAAGACATTAATAATAAACACGATTTAGATCTATTTTGATAAGATTAAAATATATTTAAGTCCGAAAAGAAAATGCGGAACATTATATATTGCTATCTTAGACTTGCATTACTGGTTGTTATTTTTATAACCTTTGAAAACCAATTTTTAGAGGCATTTTTCAGTACAACATGGAAAATTGGCAAACAATCTATTATTTTACAGAATGAATATATATAGAAGTTTTTACTCTTGAAAACCATCTTATTGGCTTCGAAAAACAAACTTCAAATTTTATCGAAACCTTTTCTAAATAACCCAAAGTTTCTTCTGAACATGGTAACAGGAGAGATAAAATATTGCACCCCCTATCAAAGAATGTTTCAAAATATTCTTGTATGACATAATCAAGATTGCATCTTTTTATATGTTGTTCTATAAGTATTGTTTGTTTTGATTTGCTAGTGATGAGGGTTGTTTGAATAAGTAATTTTAAATCAATTTTGCAATTTTAAAATTCGACATTTTTTGAAAATAACCCATATAATTTGTAGATTTTGCTTTGACAAAGTCCCAAATTTTAGCTAATGGTTAAGTCCACTTTTTGTTAGAAATTAAAAAAAACAACACTCTGATAAACAAACAAAAAAATAACTGGAATTTCTAACTATATATGAACTTGCAGTGACAATATACATTGGAACGGACACACATACAAGTTAAAAACTTCCTTACATACGTGGAAAGACATAATTCACCAATCAGATATTCGAACCAAATATTTTTTTTCTTTTGAAACATGAAGTAGGATTTAATAGATAAAACAGAAGTTCGAGAACAGTTTAAAATGATAAAAGTATAGTGGGATCCCAATTTTGTTTTCTTCAGAGACAGTAGACGGGTGATGAATGAAGTACTATGCAGCCAAACTCACCATTAAGAATGGCCAATAGATGACAAGTAAAGATACCTTAGGAAGGAGGAGTTAACATGTATTTGACGGAAGCAGTCGTAACAAACACATCATCTATTGCAGATTAAGGATAAAACGATAAAGGGGTTGTCTGTTGTTATGGTGAAGAAGTATGATTATTTGTGGTCCTCTTTAGCTTGGGATTTTTGAATTTTGTTTGTATAACAAACATTTATGATTAAATAGATTGGAAAAAAACGAATTTACCTGCCATGCAGAGGATTGTTTTGGGTAAGCATTCTAGTTCATTTTGACAGAATTTAAAATGTTGTGTAACGAGTTGTTAGCTCATTACAGTTTGTATATTTCCTGTAATATATATTATACATACTTATTACAGTTTGTATATTTCCTGTGTTATATATTATACATACTTATTACAGTTTGTATATTTCCTGTGTTATATATTATACATACTTATTACAGTTTGTATATTTCCTGTGTTATATATTATACATACTTATTACAGTTTGTATATTTCCTGTAATATATATTAAACATACTTATTTGTAATGCATTACAGGAAACAAACTTATTGCAAAAATGTCAGTAGATAAAATGAAGAAGATATAATAAGAGATCCGTCTTTGTAAGTAAAATGCATGGTAAGTATATAGTATGATTTGGATCCGTGCTGTGTGTGGTGTATTTCAGGGAAAGGCATCAAAGTCAAACTGGTGAAAAATGCTACACATCGCTATCACCAAGACAACAAAAAAGTAAGTATTAAATAGAATGTTTGATATAGTTTTTTAACATTTTATTTCATGCTGCCTGGTAACCTGGTGAGTACTATCACTAATAACTAATTATCTTTTTTTCCACTGCTTTGTTGGATACTGTAAGTATATATATCATTAATTACTGTTCACGTTATCGACTTTTACCAATGTTATACATTAATTATAGTATTATATTTAAATATACCAATGAGAAAACGGGTAATAATGAAAAATTGCTATGTTTACCAGAGCCTCACACTCATTTTATTAATTATAATAAATATGCAAATTTCATTTTATTATTCCGGATTCTCATATATTAACATCTAATTTTTAGGCTTCCATTCATGTTTTGTCTTCGGCCATTCATTCATTTTATTTAATGGGAGGGGGTTCATGAAGCAATTTTCAAAACTTAAATAGAAAAATACTATTTTGTTTGAATAACAAAAATTAGAATAGAAAATTCATTTAAAATTCGCTAGAAGACAAAACAGGGGTTGAACAAACACCTGGATATCTTAATATCATCGCCTATTTATACTATAAACTATACTCTTTACCTTGATTTTGCAGGTAAACAGCCAGTAACAACAGCAGGTATGTATTCAAGATATGATCAGATATAGGAAATACAACGAATATCAATTTAGGAATCCTTGCAGACATTTTTTTTATAATTAAAGCATCCATGTTCATATGTTCTAGATTTAAACGTGTATTATCAATATTCGGTATCCTACATTTATATCAACAACATTCTTTATACTGAAAAATTCTTATAAACATTCACATTTTGGTTTTTACGGTAGTACATTGAAAAGGTAATTCTTTGTTGAAAATATACTGGAAATAATTCAACAGTAAACCAAATAATCTCGAGTCCCTATGTTATTGAATCCAGTAATCCCGAGTCCCTATATGTTATTGAATCCAGTAATCCCGAGTCCCTATGTTATTGAATCCAGTAACCCCGAGTCCACATGTTATTCAATCCAGAAACCCCAATTCCACATGTTATTCAATCCATAAACCCCGAGTCCCTATAATATTTAACCCAGGAGACCCGAATCTCCATGTTATTGTACTTATTTGCTTTCATATGTATGAGGGTTGTATGAGAATTGATTATTTCAAAGCACGTGCCACCATCGATACATGGTTAACAGCAGTCATCCGCAGTTAGATAGTTCATATGAAATTCAAAGTATTGCTTATCCAATATTGATCAATATCTTGGAAGTCTTAAATGAAGGAACCTAATGTGTAGTAACAGCTTTTTGAGGATATGAATCGATAATGAAAGTACGGGTATAACTGTTGACATCAACTTCTAGTTTAATGTATAGAGAGAGAAGATATCAAGGGGACATTATAAAAAGTCCAATAAAACAAACAACACTATGGAAAACCAAGGGGACACTATAAAAAGTCCAATAAAACAAACAACACTATAGCAAACCAAGGGGACATTATAAAAAGTCCAATAAAACAAATAACACTATGGAAAACCAAGGGGACATTATAAAAAGTCCAATAAAACAAACAACACTATAGCAAACTAAGGGGACATTATAAAAAGTCCAATAAAACAAACAACACTATGGAAAACCAAGGGGACATTATAAAAAGTCCAATAAAACAAACAACACTATGGAAAACCAAGGGGACATTATAAAAAGTCCAATAAAACAAACAACACTTTGGCAAACCAAGGGGACACTATAAAAAGTCCAATAAAACAAACAACCCTATGGCAAACCAAGGGGACACTATAAAAAGTCAAATAAAACAAACAACACTATGGAAAACCAAGGGGACATTTTAAAAGTCCAATAAAACAAACAAGACTATAGCAAACCAAGGGGACACTATAAAAAGTCCAATAAAACAAACAACACTATGGCAAACCAAGGGGACATTATAAAAAGCCCGATGAAACAAACAACACTATGGCAAACCAAGGGGACATTATAAAAAGCCCGATGAAACAAACAACACTATGGCAAACCAAAGGGACATTATAAAATGTCCAGTAAAACAAACAACACTATGGCAAACCAAGGGGACATTATAAAAAGCCCGATGAAACAAACAACACTATGGCAAACCAAGGGGACATTATAAAAAGCCCGATGAAACAAACAACACTATGGCAAACCAAAGGGGCATTATAAAAAGTCCAATAAAACAAACAACACTATGGCCAAAAAATAAAAACAACAAAAACAAAACATTACATAGAAACCAAAGACTGAGCAACACGAACCCCCACAAAACAGAAGATGAACTCAGGTGCTCCGGAAGGGTAAGCTGTTCCTGCTTCACATTTGGCAAGTAACTGTTTGACTTTTTGATACAAACATTTTTAACAGTTTTTTTTATGAAAAAGTATGGTGAAGAATAATTATGAGAAAATTATAATAATTTCACTGAATAAATACAGCCCTCACATAATCAAATCATTAATATTAAAACTCTATCAGTGAATTAAAATTAAACATTAGAAAAAAGTTTACAAAGAGACCATACACATTTTTCTGCAAGACATTTACATAAAAAAAGTTTATTTATAATTCTTATCCATTAAAACTGGACTTAATTCACTATGTTCGGGATTATTGCAAGAATGGGTGAAAATGTATACATTCTTGGAAAGTACAGTTTTGTGTTACATATTACCTTATCTTCTTTTCCTTAAATATATAGGCTTAAACAAAACAATCAATATATTGATCATCCCTCTGTACGATCTCTCACGATATGTTTTTCATTTTTACAGAGTTTTGTGAAGACGAAATGAGAAATGTTGGAGCTATTCCTGATCAATATGTAGATTACAGCAACGAAATAAACCCACAAGTAGATTCCCAAATCAACGGAACCGCATGGACCCCTGACATATTGAATGACAAAAGCCCGAATGTCACCGTTTACTTCCCCACTACTGCAATCGTGAATGCCATTTTAGTACAAGGCGGTGGAATTAATGATTCTTACTTGGAGAAATTTTATGTGAAGGTGAAAAATTTGGACGGACAGTGGGAAGATATAAATGATATCGATGGAAATCCCATGGTAAGGATTATAATAATTTATATAATAATAATACTTTATTCAGAAGCAATACAGCTTATAGAATATACATTTTTACATCAAATTTTTAAATGCATCAGTGTAATATTAATAACAATAATAATACAAAATACACATATGGCGGAGAATGACAATAAATTCATATGATTAATAAGGAATACAACTACAAAATGTACGTATTACATTATGGATTTTTTCGGTATTGAACAAAAATTTACCAAAATTATTAAGTTCTTTCACATTGTGAACTGATAACAACTGTATAAGTTTAAAAGTTGATGGTTTTTGCCAATAATATTTCTTAATATATTGTTTTCTTATATTAGTATATCTATTACATTCTAAAATAAAATGATATTCGTCTTCAACAATATTGCTATTGGACTTAGTACATAATCTATTTTCTCTATCTATATTGTAATATCTGCCTGTCTCGATATTGAGGCTATGGGCAGATTTACGATATTTACATATATAAGGTTTATATATTTGATTAACAGGTCTATCTAAATAAAATAAAGAAATAAGGAGATGTGGTATGATTTCCAATGAGACAACTATCCACCAAAGTTCAAATGAAGTGGATGTAAGAATTTATAGGCAACCGAACGGCCTTCAACAATGAGAAAACCCATACCATATGGTCGGCTATAAAAGGCCCCGACATGAAATATATACAACAAGTTATGGTTTAACGATATCAAAATTCTCGTTCAAATACATAATGCAGTTGACACAACTGGCCCTCAATTTCGAGATGTAAGTCAAGAAATGAAACAGTCTTATAACTGTATCAGATTTGTAGTAATGCTTTATTTCATGTCAATTGGAAGAGATACGATCTACGTCACCAAACATTGAATTATTCAATAAAAGGATGACCAACGTCACCAAACATTGAATTATTCAATAAAAAGACGATCAACGTCACCAAACGTTGAATTATTCAATAAAAGGACTTATTCTAAGCGGATCTTGGAAGTTAATACTGACTTCTTTCCATCTTAGAAGTTAATACTGACTTCTTTCCATCTTGGAAGTTAATACTGACTCCTTTCATCTTGGAAGTTAATACTGACTTCTTTCCATCTTGGAAGTTGATACTGACTTCTTTCAATTCTTTTGAAGAAGCTTTTGTCTGTCTTTTCCTAACGTACCGGATGAATGTTAGTCGTGTCGTTGGTTACGGATTTAGCTAAATTGAATTTTCTTCTTTATAACAGACAAACAAATCTATACATTTCATGTATATTGCTGTTTGTATGTATTAGATACACCTAGAGGGCGTAAGTCCGAATGAGTGTATCTAATTTACACCAAGATATTATTGTCAATGCAGAATGATAGTTTTTAATAATTTAGGAGGGGGTCTTTGATTTGATCATATGTTATTGAAAAGCATAATAAATGCAGGGTATCCAATTTCATGTAACGATATCTTTTTGTAAATAAGCATGTGAATCCAAAGCAGCCAACGTCTATTCAAAAAACAAAACCGGTGTACCAAATTTGACCTTTAGATGTTTAGAATTTAGAATTTATTCATTTAGGTCTAATGACCTGTGCGTAAGTTTAGGTGCTTATTTGATGCAGGCATTTTTTAAATGAATAAGGTTACACGGATAACTACCAATATACCGGTAAATCATACTTTCCCTAATTGGACATGTATTCAGCTTAAAACATTGTTACATGTACGGATAGTTTATGAATTAAGTAATACCAGCTCGTAACCATGATTACTAGTATGACTGCTCATCGGCTTTTAACTAAAGCGACAGGACAGATGTTGGAGCGGGACTGCATTCAATTCTAATCTTTCGTGGGATTCATGTGGCTAAATATTTATTTTTCTGTGTAGAGTGTTTTTTTCTAGCTTACCTGGCCCACAGGGCCAAGTGATCTTTTTTCATCACTTCGCGTCCGTCGTTGTTCCTTAACTTTTTCAATAATCTCCTCCTCTGAAACTACTGGGCCAAATATTACCAAACTTGGCCACAATCATCATAAGGGTATCTAGTTTATAAAATATGTCCGACGACCCCACATGCCAACCAACATGGTTGACATGGCTAAAAATAGAACATAGGGGTAAAAGTTTTATCTTTTATCTTGAAAACCGAGAAAATCTGACAGGCTTGTAAAAATGTTCAAAATGTTGAGATCTACTTATTGTCCATCTACGTCAAAACTGTCAAACGACTTTTTATAGGAGTTATTGCCCTTAAATGACGAATTTTACCATTTTTATTTTCATTCTTGATAACTATATTAAATTGAAATAACAACTATTTGACAGTAGCAAGACAAGATCTACAAATAAGTCCCCATGGCCGAAATCGTTAGACGACTCCTTATTGGAGTTATTGCCCATTAATGACGATTTTTGTCATTTTTTTTCCATTTTTGTCTTATATCTTGAAAAATATAAAAGATATATAGAAACTTTAAATGATAAAAATAATCAGCAAGACAAGATCTATAAATAAATCCAATGGTCGAAATTGTCAGACGGAGTTATTGCCTTTTCATGATGATTTTTTACCAATTTTAAAATTTTGCATTTTGTGTAATATTTTATAAACTATAAAAGATAAATGAACACTTTAAAACCAAAATTATCAGCAAGACAATATCTACAAATAATACTAAAAATCGAAATCATCATTCGACTCTTTATTAGAGTTATTGCTCTTTAATGACGATATTTACCTATCTTTTATTAGAGTTTTTTTCTATTATCTTGAAAACAATAATAGACAGATAGATATTTTAAATAGCAACAATGATCAGCTAGACAAGATATATGATATAAAAAGTAACCATAGCTGAAATCGTCAGTCGTCTCCTTATTGGATTTCTTACTCTTTAACGAGGACTATTACCAATTGTTTTGCGTTTTTTGTCTATTATCTTGAAACTATGAAAGATAGATAGACACGTTAAATAACAAAAATGATCAGCAAGACAAAATCTACAATAATTCAAATTTTTCCAAAATCGCTAGTAGACTCTTTGAAGGAGCAATTGCTTTTAAATGATGATTTTATTACCCTTTTTTGTGGTTTGGGCAGAAATTAAAGATGAATGAGAGAAACTGTAAACAGAAAAAGTGATCAAAAAGTAATGTTTGTCATGAACTTTATTCTAGTCTACAATGTTGGCCTTTCTACGAGATTTCCATAAATCTCCCCAAGTATCTTTAAAGTATATTAACATTATTTCCGTAACTTTTAGGAGTTTGTAGGCAATACAGATGGAGATAGTGTTGTGACTGTAGATCTACCATCATTGGAACAAGTGAAGGCAATTCAGATCATTCCAATAGCACAATCCGAGCCTATTAAACTCCGATTTGATTTAATTGGCTGTGTTATGGGTAAGAGTAATGTTGGTCTAATCATTATGGAATTATTTGGTTGGGAATCTTGCTTTTCTTCTTATTTATAGTTCACATTACATTTTAAGAATAAAAAGTATAGCAGTAATTGTGTTGTGCATGTTATATCTTCCGTACTAAACTTGAGTGAACAGTTATATTGTCATCCTTTTAAGTACAGTGTAAGTAGACAATGTGTCATTACATTTTCTGAAAATTATCTGTTAAAGTATATTTTTTGAAATATATATTCGCAAATGCATATTGCCTTATTTCATTAGTTATAAAAAAAACTTATTATGGGCTTGCTACATTGACATTGTTGCATGTTGATAAAAAACCAATTGGAAAAAAAAAATACTGTACAGACAGATCTAGAACCCAGCTTTCTTTGCGTATTACATAGTTCTCACCATAAAATAATTTCCCGAAATCTACATTCTACAACTATGTTTTCGGCATGCCGGGATAGTGATTATCACGGGGACTTTCAATTTCTTCTATATATATTCTCATTAAATAAGGTTCGTTTGGATTTGTCGAGTAATATAAACCAGGTCCGTTTGAATTTTCCTAGTAGCTTAAATTTATAAGAGTTATTCTCTGCTGCATATGAATCTGATTTGTAAATATTTTAAAAGTTTTCTTGTTGAGTTTCATACATACACGGAGATTCAGCATGTTTCTTTAAATGATGTACATGTATTCTTCCAGTAGAAAAATGATTGGGGTGGTACGTCATGAATTATTTATTTGCATTTTAAACCAGATTAACACAAAACTCTCAAAGCCTGCGGTTCTCGTTTCGATTTCGAGGGAAATGATAACATTATTTGACAACTCTCTATTATTTTTTATAATACATAAAAAGGGAGTAGCAGGAATCGCCCAATAATACCACACAGTAAACCACATAGACTAGGAATCGCCCAATAATACCACACAGTAAACCACATAGACTAGGAATCGCCCAATAATACCACACAGTAAACCACATAGACTACCGAATTAATTATTTTGTTGTTTGTTTATTTGTGTTCTTTATTACTTTTTATCAAAGCGTTTTCTTGCGAACTTATAAAACATGTCCGTTCGGAGAACATGTAAAACATAAGAGTTACATTTATCAGTGTTTGGAAGACGATTCTCAATTGATTCCCAACTGTTTGTGGTACTAATATGTAGTATATTATACTCTATATAAGGCATAATTGTCAATAGATTCCAAACTGTATGTGGTACCGATATGTACTATACTGTATATAAGGCACAATTGTCAATAGAACTTTTTTGACACTTTTACTTTACGTCCGTGTATGTTAAAATAGATAATTTCCAATGACAGGGCTTGCATCTACTTACGACTAATTTAGTCTTAAATTAGGGTACCAGATCCCATTTTATCAAAAGTAATTATAAATCTTTTTCTCAACACTCGGGTAAAATATTTTTTGTTTTCAGTTATTTTTTGTTTTTTTTGTAGAGTCCACTACACAGGGTGTAATGACAGTTCCTACAGTTGGTTAGTATTAAACGATAAATATCTGTAAATTATGATGTATTGATACCCACTTACGGATCATTTCATTTGAAATAACTTTTTCAAAATATTGCTCTAGTTGATTTTGCTTTATTTTAATTCTCATATCTTGTATTTATAGATTCTAAAGGATTTGTCGATACTTTTTTTCTTTCAGGACCATCCGTTACAGGAACAACTATTCCTAGTGTAGGACCATCAGTAACGGTTTCAACTACTCAAAAGGGTGCCGCAGGTGGAACGTCTCCACCTAGAATATCATTTGGAACTTCAACTATTTCTGGAACAACTATAACTAGTGTAGGACCATCAGTTAGTGGAACAACTATCCCAGGAACGGGGCCATCAGTTAGTGGAACAACTGTCTCTGTTTCAGGACCATCTGCTACAGGAACAACTATTCCCAGTGTAGGACCATCCGTAACTGGAACAACTATCCCAGGAACTGGACCATCAGTTAGTGGAACAACTATTTCTGGAACAGCACCATCAATAAGTGGAACAACTGTCCCTGGAACTGGTCCATCAGCTAGTGGATCAACTATCTCTGTTACAGTACCATCTGTAAGCGGAACAACTATATTTGGCACAGCACCGTCAGTAAGTGGAACAACTGTCTCTGTTTCAGGACCATCTGTTACAGGAACAACTATTCCCAGTGTAGGACCATCCGTAACTGGAACAACTGTCCCTGGAACTGGGCCATCAGTCAGTGGAACAACGGTCTCTGCTTCAGTACCATCAGTAAGTGGAACAACTGTCTCTGTTTCAGGACCATCCGTTACAGGAACAACTATTCCTAGTGTAGGACCATCAGTAACGGTTTCAACTACTCAAAAGGGTGCAGCAGGTGGAACGTCTCCACCTAGAATATCATTTGGAACTTCAACTATTTCTGGAACAACTATAACTAGTGTAGGACCATCAGTTAGTGGAACAACTATCCCAGGAACTGGGCCATCAGTTAGTGGAACAACTATTTCTGGAACAGCACCATCAGTAAGTGGAACAACTGTCTCTGGAACTGGTCCATCAGCTAGTGGATCAACTATCTCTGTTACAGTACCATCTGTAAGTGGGACAACTATATCTGGCACAGTATCATCAGTAAGTGGAACAACTGTCTCTGTTTCAGGACCATCTCTTACAGGAACAACACTTCCTAGTGTGGGACCATCAGTAACTGGAACAACTGTCCCTGGAACTGGGCCATCAGCTAGTGGATCAACTATCTCTGTTACAGTACCACCTGTAAGTGGGACAACAATATCTGGCACAGTACCATCAGTAAGTGGAACAACTGTCTCTGTTTCAGGACCATCTGTTACAGGATCAATTATTCCCAGTGTAGGACCATCCGTAACTGGAACAACTGTCCCTGGAACTGGGCCATCAGCTAGTGGATCAACTATCTCTGTTACAGTACCACCTGTAAGTGGGACAACAATATCTGGCACAGTACCATCAGTAAGTGGAACAACTATCTCTGTTTCAGGACCATCTGTTACAGGAACAACTATTCCCAGTGTAGGACCATCCGTTACTGGAACAACTGTCCCTGGAACTGGGCCATCAGTCAGTGGAACAACGGTCTCTGCTTCAGTACCATCAGTAAGTGGAACAACTGTCTCTGTTTCAGGACCATCCGTTACAGGAACAACTATTCCTAGTGTAGGACCATCAGTAACGGTTTCAACTACTCAAAAGGGTGCAGCAGGTGGAACGTCTCCACCTAGAATATCATTTGGAACTTCAACTATTTCTGGAACAACTATAACTAGTGTAGGACCATCAGTTAGTGGAACAACTATCCCAGGAACTGGGCCATCAGTTAGTGGAACAACTATTTCTGGAACAGCACCATCAATAAGTGGAACAACTGTCCCTGGGACTGGTCCATCAGCTAGTGGATCAACTATCTCTGTTACAGTACCATCTGTAAGTGGGACAACTATATCTGGCACAGTACCATCAGTAAGTGGAACAACTGTCTCTGTTTCAGGACCATCTGTTACAGGAACAACACTTCCTAGTGTGGGACCATCAGTAACTGGAACAACTGTCCCTGGAACTGGGCCATCAGCTAGTGGATCAACTATCTCTGTTACAGTACCACCTGTAAGTGGGACAACCATATCTGGCACAGTACCATCAGTAAGTGGAACAACTGTCCCTGGAACTGGGCCATCAGCTAGTGGATCAACTATCTCTGTTACAGTACCACCTGTAAGTGGGACAACAATATCTGGCACAGTACCATCAGTAAGTGGAACAACTGTCTCTGTTTCAGGACCATCTGTTACAGAAACAACTATTCCCAGTGTAGGACCATCCGTAACTGGAACAACTGTCCCTGGAATTGGGCCATCAGCTAGTGGATCAACTATCTCTGTTACAGTACCACCTGTAAGTGGGACAACCATATCTGGCACAGTACCATCAGTAAGTGGAACAACTGTTTCTGTTTCGGGACCATCTGTTACAGGAACAACTATTCCCAGTGTAGGACCATCCGTAACTGGAACAACTGTTCCTAGTCTAGGACCATCCGTAACTGGAACAACTGTCCCTGGAACTGGGCCATCAGCTAGTGGATCAACTATCTCTGTTACAGTACCACCTGTAAGTGGGACAACCATATCTGGCACAGTACCATCAGTAAGTGGAACAACTGTCCCTGGAACTGGGCCATCAGCTAGTGGATCAACTATCTCTGTTACAGTACCACCTGTAAGTAGGACAACAATATCTGGCACAGTACCATCAGTAAGTGGAACAACTGTCTCTGTTTCAGGACCATCTGTTACAGGAACAACTATTCCCAGTGTAGGACCATCCGTAACTGGAACAACTGTCCCTGGAACTGGGCCATCAGCTAGTGGATCAACTATCTCTGTTACAGTACCACCTGTAAGTGGGACAACCATATCTGGCACAGTACCATCAGTAAGTGAAACAACTATCTCTGTTTCAGGACCATCTGTTACAGGAACAACTATTCCCAGTGTAGGACCATCCGTAACTGGAACAACTGTCCCTGGAACTGGGCCATCAGTCAGTGGAACAACGGTCTCTGCTTCAGTACCATCAGTAAGTGGAACAACTGTCTCTGTTTCAGGACCATCCGTTACAGGAACAACTATTCCTAGTGTAGGACCATCAGTAACGGTTTCAACTACTCAAAAGGGTGCAGCAGGTGGAACGTCTCCACCTAGAATATCATTTGGAACTTCAACTATTTCTGGAACAACTATAACTAGTGTAGGACCATCAGTTAGTGGAACAACTATCCCAGGAACTGGGCCATCAGTTAGTGGAACAACTATTTCTGGAACAGCACCATCAGTAAGTGGAACAACTGTCTCTGGAACTGGTCCATCAGCTAGTGGATCAACTATCTCTGTTACAGTACCATCTGTAAGTGGGACAACTATATCTGGCACAGTACCATCAGGAGGTGGATCAACTGTCTTTGTTTCAGGACCATCTGTTACAGGAACAACACTTCCTAGTGTGGGACCATCAGTAACTGGAACAACTGTCCCTGGAACTGGGCCATCAGCTAGTGGATCAACTATCTCTGTTACAGTACCACCTGTAAGTGGGACAACCATATCTGGCACAGTACCATCAGTAAGTGGAACAACTGTCCCTGGAACTGGGCCATCAGCTAGTGGATCAACTATCTCTGTTACAGTACCATCTGTAAGTGGGACAACTATATCTGGCACAGTACCATCAGTAAGTGGAACAACTGTCTCTGTTTCCGGACCATCTGTTACAGGAACAACACTTCCTAGTGTGGGACCATCAGTAACTGGAACAACTGTCCCTGGAACTGGGCCATCAGCTAGTGGATCAACTATCTCTGTTACAGTACCACCTGTAAGTGGGACAACCATATCTGGCACAGTACCATCAGTAAGTGGTACAACTGTCCCTGGAACTGGGCCATCAGCTAGTGGATCAACTATCTCTGTTACGGTACCACCTGTAAGTGGGACAACAATATCTGGCACAGTACCATCAGTAAGTGGAACAACTGTCTCTGTTTCAGGACCATTTGTTACAGGAACAACTATTCCCAGTGTAGGACCATCCGTAACTGGAACAACTGTCCCTGGAACTGGTCCATCAGCTAGTGGATCAACTATCTCTGTTACAGTACCACCTGTAAGTGGGACAACCATATCTGGCACAGTACCATCATTAAGTGGAACAACTATCTCTGTTTCAGGACCATCTGTTACAGGAACAACTATTCCCAGTGTAGGACCATCCGTAACTGGAACAACTGTCCCTGGAACTGGGCCATCAGTCAGTGGAACAACGGTCTCTGCTTCAGTACCATCAGTAAGTGGAACAACTGTCTCTGTTTCAGGACCATCCGTTACAGGAACAACTATTCCTAGTGTAGGACCATCAGTAACGGTTTCAACTACTCAAAAGGGTGCAGCAGGTGGAACGTCTCCACCTAGAATATCATTTGGAACTTCAACTATTTCTGGAACAACTATAACTAGTGTAGGACCATCAGTTAGTGGAACAACTATCCCAGGAGCTGGGCCATCAGTTAGTGGAACAACTATTTCTGGAACAGCACCATCAGTAAGTGGAACAACTGTCTCTGGAACTGGTCCATCAGCTAGTGGATCAACTATCTCTGTTACAGTACCATCTGTAAGTGGGACAACTATATCTGGCACAGTACCATCAGTAAGTGGAACAACTGTCTCTGTTTCAGGACCATCTGTTACAGGAACAACACTTCCTAGTGTGGGACCATCGGTAACTGGAACAACTGTACCTGGAACTGGGCCATCAGCTAGTGGATCAACTATCTCTGTTACAGTACCACCTGTAAGTGGGACAACAATATCTGGCACAGTACCATCAGTAAGTGGAACAACTGTCTCTGTTTCAGGACCATCTGTTACAGGAACAACTATTCCCAGTGTAGGACCATCCGTAAATGGAACAACTATCGCTGGAACTGGGCCATCAGCTAGTGGATCAACTATCTTTGTTACAGTACCACCTGTAAGTGGGACAACAATATCTGGCACATTACCATCAGTAAGTGGAACAACTATCTCTGTTTCAGGACCATCTGTTACAGGAACAACTATTCCCAGTGTAGGACCATCCGTTACTGGAACAACTGTCCCTGGAACTGGGCCATCAGTCAGTGGAACAACGGTCTCTGCTTCAGTACCATCAGTAAGTGGAACAACTGTCTCTGTTTCAGGACCATCCGTTACAGGAACAACTATTCCTAGTGTAGGACCATCAGTAACGGTTTCAACTACTCAAAAGGGTGCAGCAGGTGGAACGTCTCCACCTAGAATATCATTTGGAACTTCAACTATTTCTGGAACAACTATAACTAGTGTAGGACCATCAGTTAGTGGAACAACTATCCCAGGAACTGGGCCATCAGTTAGTGGAACAACTATTTCTGGAACAGCACCATCAATAAGTGGAACAACTGTCCCTGGGACTGGTCCATCAGCTAGTGGATCAACTATCTCTGTTACAGTACCATCTGTAAGTGGGACAACTATATCTGGCACAGTACCATCAGTAAGTGGAACAACTGTCTCTGTTTCAGGACCATCTGTTACAGGAACAACACTTCCTAGTGTGGGACCATCAGTAACTGGAACAACTGTCCCTGGAACTGGGCCATCAGCTAGTGGATCAACTATCTCTGTTACAGTACCACCTGTAAGTGGGACAACCATATCTGGCACAGTACCATCAGTAAGTGGAACAACTGTCCCTGGAACTGGGCCATCAGCTAGTGGATCAACTATCTCTGTTACAGTACCACCTGTAAGTGGGACAACAATATCTGGCACAGTACCATCAGTAAGTGGAACAACTGTCTCTGTTTCAGGACCATCTGTTACAGAAACAACTATTCCCAGTGTAGGACCATCCGTAACTGGAACAACTGTCTCTGGAATTGGGCCATCAGCTAGTGGATCAACTATCTCTGTTACAGTACCACCTGTAAGTGGGACAACCATATCTGGCACAGTACCATCAGTAAGTGGAACAACTGTCCCTGGAACTGGGCCATCAGCTAGTGGATCAACTATCTCTGTTACAGTACCATCTGTAAGTGGGACAACTATATCTGGCACAGTACCATCAGTAAGTGGAACAACTGTCTCTGTTTCCGGACCATCTGTTACAGGAACAACTATTCCCAGTGTAGGACCATCCGTAACTGGAACAACTGTCCCTGGAACTGGGCCATCAGTCAGTGGAACAACGGTCTCTGCTTCAGTACCATCAGTAAGTGGAACAACTGTCTCTGTTTCAGGACCATCCGTTACAGGAACAACTATTCCTAGTGTAGGACCATCAGTAACGGTTTCAACTACTCAAAAGGGTGCAGCAGGTGGGACGTCTCCACCTAGAATATCATTTGGAACTTCAACTATTTCTGGAACAACTATAACTAGTGTAGGACCATCAGTTAGTGGAACAACTATCCCAGGAACTGGACCATCAGTTAGTGGAACAACTATTTCTGGAACAGCACCATCAGTAAGTGGAACAACTGTCTCTGGAACTGGTCCATCAGCTAGTGGATCAACTATCTCTGTTACAGTACCATCTGTAAGTGGGACAACTATATCTGGCACAGTACCATCAGTAAGTGGAACAACTGTCTCTGTTTCAGGACCATCTGTTACAGGAACAACACTTCCTAGTGTGGGACCATCAGTAACTGGAACAACTGTCCCTGGAACTGGGCCATCAGCTAGTGGATCAACTATCTCTGTTACAGTACCACCTGTAAGTGGGACAACAATATCTGGCACAGTACCATCAGTAAGTGGAACAACTGTCTCTGTTTCAGGACCATCTGTTACAGGAACAACTATTCCCAGTGTAGGACCATCCGTAACTGGAACAACTGTCCCTGGAACTGGGCCATCAGCTAGTGGATCAACTATCTCTGTTACAGTACCACCTGTAAGTGGGACAACAATATCTGGCACAGTACCATCAGTAAGTGGAACAACTATCTCTGTTTCAGGACCATCTGTTACAGGAACAACTATTCCCAGTGTAGGACCATCCGTTACTGGAACAACTGTCCCTGGAACTGGGCCATCAGTCAGTGGAACAACGGTCTCTGCTTCAGTACCATCAGTAAGTGGAACAACTGTCTCTGTTTCAGGACCATCCGTTACAGGAACAACTATTCCTAGTGTAGGACCATCAGTAACGGTTTCAACTACTCAAAAGGGTGCAGCAGGTGGAACGTCTCCACCTAGAATATCATTTGGAACTTCAACTATTTCTGGAACAACTATAACTAGTGTAGGACCATCAGTTAGTGGAACAACTATCCCAGGAACTGGGCCATCAGTTAGTGGAACAACTATTTCTGGAACAGCACCATCAATAAGTGGAACAACTGTTCCTGGAACTGGGCCATCAGTTAGTGGAACAACTATTTCTGGAACAGCACCATCAGTAAGTGGAACAACTGTCTCTGGAACTGGTCCATCAGCTAGTGGATCAACTATCTCTGTTACAGTACCATCTGTAAGTGGGACAACTATATCTGGCACAGTACCATCAGTAAGTGGAACAACTGTCTCTGTTTCAGGACCATCTGTTACAGGAACAACACTTCCTAGTGTGGGACAATCAGTAACTGGAACAACTGTCCCTGGAACTGGGCCATCAGCTAGTGGATCAACTATCTCTGTTACAGTACCACCTGTAAGTGGGACAACCATATCTGGCACAGTACCATCAGTAAGTGGAACAACTGTCCCTGGAACTGGGCCATCAGCTAGTGGATCAACTATCTCTGTTACAGTACCACCTGTAAGTGGGACAACCATATCTGGCACAGTACCATCAGTAAGTGGAACAACTGTCCCTGGAACTGGGCCATCAGCTAGTGGATCAACTATCTCTGTTACGGTACCACCTGTAAGTGGGACAACAATATCTGGCACAGTACCATCAGTAAGTGGAACAACTGTCTCTGTTTCAGGACCATCTGTTACAGAAACAACTATTCCCAGTGTAGGACCATCCGTAACTGGAACAACTGTCCCTGGAATTGGGCCATCAGCTAGTGGATCAACTATCTCTGTTACAGTACCACCTGTAAGTGGGACAACCATATCTGGCACAGTACCATCAGTAAGTGGAACAACTGTTTCTGTTTCGGGACCATCTGTTACAGGAACAACTATTCCCAGTGTAGGACCATCCGTAACTGGAACAACTGTTCCTAGTGTAGGACCATCCGTAACTGGAACAACTGTCCCTGGAACTGGGCCATCAGCTAGTGGATCAACTATCTCTGTTACAGTACCACCTGTAAGTGGGACAACCATATCTGGCACAGTACCATCAGTAAGTGGAACAACTGTCCCAGGAACTGGTCCATCAGCTAGTGTATCAACTGTCTCTGTTACAGTACCACCTGTAAGTGGGACAACAATATCTGGCACAGTACCATCAGTAAGTGGAACAACTGTCTCTGTTTCAGGACCATCTGTTACAGAAACAACTATTCCCAGTGTAGGACCATCCGTAACTGGAACAACTGTCCCTGGAACTGGGCCATCAGCTAGTGGATCAACTATCTCTGTTACAGTACCACCTGTAAGTGGGACAACCATATCTGGCACAGTACCATCAGTAAGTGGAACAACTATCTCTGTTTCAGGACCATCTGTTACAGGAACAACTATTCCCAGTGTAGGACCATCCGTAACTGGAACAACTGTCCCTGGAACTGGGCCATCAGTCAGTGGAACAACGGTCTCTGCTTCAGTACCATCAGTAAGTGGAACAACTGTCTCTGTTTCAGGACCATCCGTTACAGGAACAACTATTCCTAGTGTAGGACCATCAGTAACGGTTTCAACTACTCAAAAGGGTGCAGCAGGTGGAACGTCTCCACCTAGAATATCATTTGGAACTTCAACTATTTCTGGAACAACTATAACTAGTGTAGGACCATCAGTTAGTGGAACAACTATCCCAGGAACTGGGCCATCAGTTAGTGGAACAACTATTTCTGGAACAGCACCATCAGTAAGTGGAACAACTGTCTCTGGAACTGGTCCATCAGCTAGTGGATCAACTATCTCTGTTACAGTACCATCTGTAAGTGGGACAACTATATCTGGCACAGTACCATCAGTAAGTGGAACAACTGTCTCTGTTTCAGGACCATCTGTTACAGGAACAACACTTCCTAGTGTGGGACCATCAGTAACTGGAACAACTGTCCCTGGAACTGGGCCATCAGCTAGTGGATCAACTATCTCTGTTACAGTACCACCTGTAAGTGGGACAACAATATCTGGCACAGTACCATCAGTAAGTGGAACAACTGTCTCTGTTTCAGGACCATCTGTTACAGGAACAACTATTCCCAGTGTAGGACCATCCGTAACTGGAACAACTGTCCCTGGAACTGGGCCATCAGCTAGTGGATCAACTATCTCTGTTACGGTACCACCTGTAAGTGGGACAACAATATCTGGCACAGTACCATCAGTAAGTGGAACAACTATCTCTGTTTCAGGACCATCTGTTACAGGAACAACTATTCCCAGTGTAGGACCATCCGTTACTGGAACAACTGTCCCTGGAACTGGGCCATCAGTCAGTGGAACAACGGTCTCTGCTTCAGTACCATCAGTAAGTGGAACAACTGTCTCTGTTTCAGGACCAGCCGTTACAGGAACAACTATTCCTAGTGTAGGACCATCAGTTAGTGGAACAACTATCCCAGGAACTGGGCCATCAGTTAGTGGAACAACTATTTCTGGAACAGCACCATCAATAAGTGGAACAACTGTCCCTGGAACTGGGCCATCAGTTAGTGGAACAACTATTTCTGGAACAGCACCATCAGTAAGTGGAACAACTGTCTCTGGAACTGGTCCATCAGCTAGTGGATCAACTATCTCTGTTACAGTACCATCTGTAAGTGGGACAACTATATCTGGCACAGTACCATCAGTAAGTGGAACAACTGTCTCTGTTTCAGGACCATCTGTTACAGGAACAACACTTCCTAGTGTGGGACAATCAGTAACTGGAACAACTGTCCCTGGAACTGGGCCATCAGCTAGTGGATCAACTATCTCTGTTACAGTACCACCTGTAAGTGGGACAACCATATCTGGCACAGTACCATCAGTAAGTGGAACAACTGTCCCTGGAACTGGGCCATCAGCTAGTGGATCAACTATCTCTGTTACAGTACCACCTGTAAGTGGGACAACCATATCTGGCACAGTACCATCAGTAAGTGGAACAACTGTCCCTGGAACTGGGCCATCAGCTAGTGGATCAACTATCTCTGTTACGGTACCACCTGTAAGTGGGACAACAATATCTGGCACAGTACCATCAGTAAGTGGAACAACTGTCTCTGTTTCAGGACCATCTGTTACAGAAACAACTATTCCCAGTGTAGGACCATCCGTAACTGGAACAACTGTCCCTGGAATTGGGCCATCAGCTAGTGGATCAACTATCTCTGTTACAGTACCACCTGTAAGTGGGACAACCATATCTGGCACAGTACCATCAGTAAGTGGAACAACTGTTTCTGTTTCGGGACCATCTGTTACAGGAACAACTATTCCCAGTGTAGGACCGTCCGTAACTGGAACAACTGTTCCTAGTGTAGGACCATCCGTAACTGGAACAACTGTCCCTGGAACTGGGCCATCAGCTAGTGGATCAACTATCTCTGTTACAGTACCACCTGTAAGTGGGACAACCATATCTGGCACAGTACCATCAGTAAGTGGAACAACTGTCCCTGGAACTGGTCCATCAGCTAGTGGATCAACTGTCTCTGTTACAGTACCACCTGTAAGTGGGACAACAATATCTGGCACAGTACCATCAGTAAGTGGAACAACTGTCTCTGTTTCAGGACCATCTGTTACAGGAACAACTATTCCCAGTGTAGGACCATCCGTAACTGGAACAACTGTCCCTGGAACTGGGCCATCAGCTAGTGGATCAACTATCTCTGTTACAGTACCACCTGTAAGTGGGACAACCATATCTGGCACAGTACCATCAGTAAGTGGAACAACTATCTCTGTTTCAGGACCATCTGTTACAGGAACAACTATTCCCAGTGTAGGACCATCCGTAACTGGAACAACTGTCCCTGGAACTGGGCCATCAGTCAGTGGAACAACGGTCTCTGCTTCAGTACCATCAGTAAGTGGAACAACTGTCTCTGTTTCAGGACCATCCGTTACAGGAACAACTATTCCTAGTGTAGGACCATCAGTAACGGTTTCAACTACTCAAAAGGGTGCAGCAGGTGGAACGTCTCCACCTAGAATATCATTTGGAACTTCAACTATTTCTGGAACAACTATAACTAGTGTAGGACCATCAGTTAGTGGAACAACTATCCCAGGAACTGGGCCATCAGTTAGTGGAACAACTATTTCTGGAACAGCACCATCAGTAAGTGGAACAACTGTCTCTGGAACTGGTCCATCAGCTAGTGGATCAACTATCTCTGTTACAGTACCATCTGTAAGTGGGACAACTATATCTGGCACAGTACCATCAGTAAGTGGAACAACTGTCTCTGTTTCAGGACCATCTGTTACAGGAACAACACTTCCTAGTGTGGGACCATCAGTAACTGGAACAACTGTCCCTGGAACTGGGCCATCAGCTAGTGGATCAACTATCTCTGTTACAGTACCACCTGTAAGTGGGACAACAATATCTGGCACAGTACCATCAGTAAGTGGAACAACTGTCTCTGTTTCAGGACCATCTGTTACAGGAACAATTATTCCCAGTGTAGGACCATCCGTAACTGGAACAACTGTCCCTGGAACTGGGCCATCAGCTAGTGGATCAACTATCTCTGTTACGGTACCACCTGTAAGTGGGACAACAATATCTGGCACAGTACCATCAGTAAGTGGAACAACTATCTCTGTTTCAGGACCATCTGTTACAGGAACAACTATTCCCAGTGTAGGACCATCCGTTACTGGAACAACTGTCCCTGGAACTGGGCCATCAGTCAGTGGAACAACGGTCTCTGCTTCAGTACCATCAGTAAGTGGAACAACTGTCTCTGTTTCAGGACCATCCGTTACAGGAACAACTATTCCTAGTGTAGGACCATCAGTAACGGTTTCAACTACTCAAAAGGGTGCAGCAGGTGGAACGTCTCCACCTAGAATATCATTTGGAACTTCAACTATTTCTGGAACAACTATAACTAGTGTAGGACCATCAGTTAGTGGAACAACTATCCCAGGAACTGGGCCATCAGTTAGTGGAACAACTATTTCTGGAACAGCACCATCAATAAGTGGAACAACTGTCCCTGGAACTGGGCCATCAGTTAGTGGAACAACTATTTCTGGAACAGCACCATCAGTAAGTGGAACAACTGTCTCTGGAACTGGTCCATCAGCTAGTGGATCAACTATCTCTGTTACAGTACCATCTGTAAGTGGGACAACTATATCTGGCACAGTACCATCAGTAAGTGGAACAACTGTCTCTGTTTCAGGACCATCTGTTACAGGAACAACACTTCCTAGTGTGGGACCATCAGTAACTGGAACAACTGTCCCTGGAACTGGGCCATCAGCTAGTGGATCAACTATCTCTGTTACAGTACCACCTGTAAGTGGGACAACCATATCTGGCACAGTACCATCAGTAAGTGGAACAACTGTCCCTGGAACTGGGCCATCAGCTAGTGGATCAACTATCTCTGTTACAGTACCACCTGTAAGTGGGACAACAATATCTGGCACAGTACCATCAGTAAGTGGAACAACTGTCTCTGTTTCAGGACCATCTGTTACAGGAACAACTATTCCCAGTGTAGGACCATCCGTAACTGGAACAACTGTCCCTGGAACTGGGCCATCAGCTAGTGGATCAACTATCTCTGTTACAGTACCATCTGTAAGTGGGACAACCATATCTGGCACAGTACCATCAGTAAATGGAACAACTATCTCTGTTTCAGGACCATCTGTTACAGGAACAACTATTCCCAGTGTAGGACCATCCGTAACTGGAACAACTGTCCCTGGAACTGGGCCATCAGTCAGTGGAACAACGGTCTCTGTTTCAGGACCATCCGTTACAGGAACAACTATTCCTAGTGTAGGACCATCAGTAACGGTTTCAACTACTCAAAAGGGTGCAGCAGGTGGAACGTCTCCACCTAGAATATCATTTGGAACTTCAACTATTTCTGGAACAACTATAACTAGTGTAGGACCATCAGTTAGTGGAACAACTATCCCAGGAACTGGGCCATCAGTTAGTGGAACAACTATTTCTGGAACAGCACCATCAGTAAGTGGAACAACTGTCCCTGGAACTGGTCCATCAGCTAGTGGATCAACTATCTATGTTACAGTACCATCTGTAAGTGGAACAACTATATCTGGCACAGTACCATCAGTAAGTGGAACAACTGTCTCTGTTTCAGGACCATCTGTTACAGGAACAACTATTTCTAGTGTAGGACCATCCGTAACTGGAACAACTGTCCCTGGTACAGGACCGTCAGTAAGTGGAACAACCGTCTCTGTTACAGCACCAACAGTAAGTGGAACAACTGTCCCTGGAACAGTGTCATTAGTTAGTGGAACAACTGTACCTGGAACTGGGTCATCAGTTAGAGGGACAACTATATCTGGCACAGGACCGTTAGTAACAACTGTCTCTGTTACAGCACAATCTGTTACCGGCACAACCGTAACTGGTATGTACTCAATCGTTTTGTTTCAGACACATTTTTAGCAATCCTTACCATTGCAATAGACAGTTAGCAGGATAAAGCATGTTTCATAGATTAAAGATTATAATCGGTATGCACATTACATTATGTAAAGACTTTCTTTGTAAATATATATAATATATCTATAAATTTTCATAAACTTGGGCAAAAGTTAAATACAAATAAAATTAAAATTTGCAAAAATGCCGATATTTAATATTGTGAATTACATAATTAAATTTCACAAAATTTAACGATAACGTCCATTATCCTACCGGTTATATATAAAAAAAACTTAGAGCACGATGTTTCGTAATATCTATACTTTTTCGAGGCTGAGAAAAAAATAAAGAAAGACAATTTGCTGAGCGTTCCTTCTTGTTTTGTATCAAGTAATAAAATATTTTAGATATACTACAGCTTTGCTATTGCAAGTTTTTCTTACTCTGAGAACACAGACGAGAGAGAAACTTGATAGTTAATAAGTGATTGCAGGTAGTCAATGGTATTCATAATGTCATAACTATAACAAGTACGAATACTTTTGCTGTGAAGGTATTTCAAGTTAATTCAAGGTAGCTCTATTCGTCAAGTACACAAAATACAGCCTAATGATATCCAGTTTTCATATAACAGTATAACAGAGGAATACCGGGAATAATCAGGTTTTCTCTTAAATACGTAATCACTTTCGAAAAAGGGTACTAGTATTTCATAAACACACACTGTTGAAGGGCATGTAAGTTTTATGTCTCATTATATTGGATTGTGTGTGTTATCTGATTGTTATTGAACTTTTTGGTTATAATTACATCAGTGGCACCTGGAACATCAGTATCGGTTGGAGCAACAGCAACTGGTACTACTGCAGCTGTTCAAACACGAACTACAGGTAAATATGATACTTTGAACTGTAACCCAGATATATATATATAAATATGGTTTTGCCTATAAGAATAACTTATATATATAATATTTTCTTATTTTCACTTATTTATTGTATTCTTGCTCTTATTCGTACGATATTACAATAACAGTAGTTTATAATATTCTGCCACTATATTCTTATTTCCCAAACTACTGGTATTGTAATATCGTTTCGATAAGAGAAAAGACATTAAATAAGTCAAAATAGGCTAAAACATTAAACATTATTTACTCAAAAATAAACCAAAAAAAGATGATGAAAAACGAGGGCCCATGCCCCAGGCGCATGTGCACATTAACACAAACGTTCTAATCAAATAGCAGTGAACGAAGTATGGAGGTTGCATACGATTGTTATCGTTCCACTTGCTTGTCCGTTTTTTATGAACCACACCCTATTTACGGTTATCGGTACTGCAGTTGCAATCGTGATCAGGTGAATGTTTTTCTTAGTAGTAATTATATTCGCATATATATTTATGACAATCAACCATGTTTATAACAAATGAACAGCAATGACAAAATCATACATAAAATCTTGTATAAAGGCTAGGTCATAGAAATATTTGATGCAATGAAAGAGATTGTTTTCCTGTTCGTCTAACAATATGGACAATCTATTTAATGCATTTTTCAGCTTCAATATCCACAGCTGGTACCCAAACGACACCTGGTCTACCACCAACACCACCAGGCCCGTCGGTTACTGGTCCATCGCCAACAGAAGCAACAGTATCTGGATCAACACCTGTAACAATAATAACTACTCGTAAAGGTGCTGCAGCTGGATCTATTCCTTCACAAATGACATTTAGAACAACAACGACTGTTCCAGGGCAAACAGTTTCTAGTACATTCGAGGTTGGTACTGGCACCAGCATATTAACCACAATACCAACGGCTACCGGAACACAATTTCCAGGTACGACAATTTCTTCTTCTTGACTATCTGTTTCTGAAACTGTTTTGCCATGTATTGATGGTTTCTATCAGTGGCGGATCCAGAACTTTTCATAAGAGGGGCCCGCTGACTGACCTAAGGGCCCCGCTGCAGTCATGCTTCAGTGATTCCCTATATAATCAACCAAATTTTTCCCACGAAAAGGGGGGGGGGGGGGCGGGCCCCCCAGGGCCCCCCTGGATACGCCTATGTCTATCAAGACATTATGTCGCGCTCCTAAGCGAAGATCATATATTAACTTTTCAAAACTAAATTACTTTGTCGTCTGTTACCCTGTAAGAGTCTTTACCACATCAACTATCTTTAAAAAAATGGAAGTTATAAACGAAATACCTTAATTTTCAATATCAATGAAATACAAAACAGACACCAAAACTCCGTAAATATATTTTTAATTGTGATCGAACCACAAATTGATAGAGTTTAACCACTCATGTATCTCCCATAGTCCTACTCGAATATGCATTGCACCAATCTAAATATTCCCATAGTCCTCGAAAATGCATTGCCAATTCCCAATTGTCGTACTCTAATATTTATTGTACCACTCTAAATATTACCCATTGTCATACTCGAATATTTATTGAATAACTCTCGAATGTTTATTTATACATGTACATTGACAATCTATGACCTGTACAATTACCTGTTGACAGTGAATAAACTACCTGCAGGCAATTGTACGACAAACACTATGATTGACAAAACTTATTTAAAATGTTACAAAATATAGAAACATGATGTGTACAATCGTTCAAAAATGACAAAATGATGCAACACAATAATATTATGCACATCGTTTAAATTCTGGTATGCCCCTTTGATAACTTAAAAGAAGCCGATATATAGAAAGTGTCGAATTAAATATGAAGGTAATTTACCGTAAAAAAATATCTCACGCGTTCAGGTACAGTGGGAAATCTAGTGAACGAAAACAAAAGAAAATTCACTCTACTTATGATAGAGTCGAGAAAGTCAATAATAAAACAATGCCGGTGACGATACTGATCAAAAGTTATTTCAAAATAATAATTGTACATTTTAAAGAAATTATTTGTTAAACTGTGTTATTAGAAATATACATGCAAATACACAATGTTTTATGTTCAGTATTTATCGAGATAATTGCATTAGAAGCTTGTTAAATTGAAATTTAAAAAATGCCAATCTTTGCTGCATATTGATAAAAAAAAATTGCGAAAAACCATGTACATACAAAATGTAAAGATCTTTCGGGTCACCAATTTTCGGAGTGTTCCACAAAGTCCTTAGCATGTTACAATTTCCCAAAGTATGCTATTTTTTTCACACCTAAGATATCGAGCACACCGGTCTGCTCTTGTCACATGTACATTTAATAGAGAAATATTGTCTTTTCGTGAATATAAAAAATTAAAAGTCTGTCTGTGAAGGTTAAGAAATTAAAGATAACTATTCTGAAAAAGTAGGTATCGTTCTACTATTTTTTATACAATTTTAAGAAAAAGGTCGTCGCGATTTTTGTACATGTATTTGCGGTCTTCTTGATCTATTCACATTCAATGTTTACATCGAGATAAGGTCCGTTTGAATTTGCTTGGTAACTTAATTTCAAAAGTGCCAATTTTTGCTGCATATCAATGTATTTCTTTGGAATGTTTTCCCCGACTTTCTCTGATCTAGCTGCATATGTATACGGATAATTAGCATGTTCCAGAGAGGTATACAGAAAGTAGAAAAATAAATTGAATATGGTACTCCAGGAATTTATTCGCATAGCAACATTTTAAACCAATTTGACATCATGCTTCTATAGCCTGCTGTACTCATCGTTTGCTACTTAAGGAGGGAAATGATAACATTAAATGGAAGTTTTGTTTTTATTACAACTTATTTCTATTTTTACTATTTCCACGAACATTTTCCCGTGAATCCATAATTGATAGCGTCCTTGCTAAAATGGGACAAACATTGAGAGGATCTAGTTTTCAGTGTTTACAGGGGAGGTAATATTTTGTCACTAGATTTCCCACTGGGTATATAAAATAGAACCCAGAAAACAATTCAGGCTTAGAATTGAGATTACCAGACTCGCGTTTTGTCTACATAAGACTCATCAGTGGCGCTCGAATCAAAACGGGTAAAACATTTGATCAATTATAAAGTTGAAGGGCAATAAAAACCAAATACATTCTTGAAAGATGTGCCAATCGGGATAAAAGCGATAAGTCGGAGTGAGACCAGATGCGAAAACCTAAATATCTACAGGTCAAAAGTACTCTCAATCACAAACCATGAGTTTGTTATCATAAAACACCTATTCAACCAAGCATCCCATATAGCCTGATAGGACCCGACACTATTTAAGTGGGATGGTCATCTTAAGATGCATTACTTTAATATAATCAAATATAAAAATTATTCATATATATATATTGATATATCTATATTTAAATTATTCATCAATGGGCAATCCGAATAAGACAGATCTGTCATCATCAGGGGCCCAACCTTTCAATTTTGTGTTATAGTCTTTAACTTTGAACTAGTAAGCATATCTCCTATACTTTTATGTTTGCTATACGCAATTGTTGTTTCAGCATTGAACATTTATACACATTCTTCGTCAAACTGCAATAAATGCCAGTGTTTCATGAAGGTCTGGATGGGGGTCCTTAATTTCTGTATTCTTTAAATTTTTAAGGCATTTTTCTTTATCTTTAAAAATAACGCTTTATCTGTAAAATTCTCATGAAAATGATTTTACTATTACATTTCTTTATTCTGTACATCGCTCATTTCTGTAATCAGTATTATAGTACCTAATTCTCTGTAATCAGTATTATAGTACCTAATTCTCTGTAATCAGTATTATAGTTCCTAATTCTCTGTAATCAGTATTATAGTACATAATTCTCTGTAATCAGTATTATAGTACATAATTCTCTGTAATCAGTATTATAGTACCTAATTCTCTGTAATCAGTATTATAGTTCCTAATTCTCTGTAATCAGTATTATAGTACCTAATTCTCTGTAATCAGTATTATAGTACCTAATTCTCTGTAATCAGTATTATAGTACCTAATTCTCTGTAATCAGTATTATAGTACCTAATTCTCTGTAATCAGTATTATAGTACATAATTCTCTGTAATCAGTATTATAGTACCTAATTCTCTGTAATCAGTATTATAGTACCTAATTCTCTGTAATCAGTAGTATAATACCTAATTCTCTGTAATCAGTATTATAGTACATAATTCTCTGTAATCAGTATTATAGTACCTAATTCTCTGTAATCAGTATTATAGTACCTAATTCTCTGTAATCAGTATTATAGTACATAATTCTCTGTAATCAGTATTATAGTACCTAATTCTCTGTAATCAGTATTATAGTACCTAATTCTCTGTAATCAGTATTATAGTTCCTAATTCTCTGTAATCAGTAGTATAGTACCTAATTCTCTGTAATCAGTATTATAGTACCTAATTCTTTAATTTTCCACAACTATTTTTTATACTTTTGCACTCCATTATTATGTATTCTTTATTTTTTTTGCCATTATTCTCTATTCTGTAAACCCCATCCAGACCTTCTTTCATGATACTTTTGTTTGATTTTACGTATATATGGGTTATATTTAGTTATTTAAATATTTTCTTTTACCTTTAGCTTTCTGTGCAGTAATAGTTCAACACGGTCAATTGATACAGCATCCGTAATACAATCATCTATTTCAACGTTTTCATAACCCCTATCTAATAATTTCAATTTGAAATTAGTTAGATTGTGTATTAATTTGCTACGGTCACTTGTGTTAATTGCTTGACCTTTAATAAATCCTCGGAATACTATTAGTTACATAGTGAGCTAGTGACCTAATACGGTATATATGGGGTCAGTAAATTCCATATGGGGTGAGAGCGAAGCTCGAATCCCTATATGGAATTTACTGACCCCATATATACCGTATTACGTCACTAGCATACTATGTAACGAATTTATCTTACCGACTATCTTAACGTGTGGAATTTAAACTAGTGACCTATCAAAATGAGCAAGTCTTCAATACTGTTAGCATTAAGAAACTACTTCCATTGATCCTGCAAAAACAGATGCCAACAATAACAACTTGTTAGGTTTAAATGTGTTTTATGAATTTATTTCAAGCTTCATCATCAATTTCTTCGTCTGTTGAAACCTTTAAGATTTTTTCTCAGTACCGTTTTGTTTTTATAAAGGGACGTAACACCACTACTAACCGTGTATGAAATAAGCCCCACCTCCCTACTAACCTAATATGGAATATACACGGTCTCCACGCGGACGCTTTTAACCAATCATATTCCTAGAAATGTATAGGAGGTAAGATAAATGCTGTGATCATTCATTTCTCAATGATATTAATGAAAAATGTAGTATCTTTTATATATGTATTCTGATTTTGAAAATATTCTACATAATGGCCGATAAGTTCAGTTACGGAACCACCCTGTGATATAATTGGTCTACCAGGTTGGATAACATTTATTTAATCCAACATGTTGTATTTGTTTGAACGTCTCAGTTTCAAGACGGTGAATCATTGGAAGCATATAAATTTTCCATAAGCGTGCATCTGTTAATTTTTGACCATTTGTTAAAAATCTAAATGATGCCTTGGTCGTTTAACGATTTAACATATAGTACTGCAACCAGAGTTAATTTTTTTAAACTTTAATGTTCCGGAAGAACACACACCTAAATTATATATCGATGGAAAGAGGAAAACGTGTACAATAAGAAAAGTTTGGTCGTAAAATTCCAGAGTGGTCACATTTTTGTGAAATTGGGGTCAAAGGTCAGGCCTAAAAATATCAATATTTCAACCACAAGGACAAAAGCAGAAAATTTCTGATATTTATTCATTAGAATGCCTCAAAAACGATTCAATCATAAGCATATGCTGCAAAGGATGTTAAAACTATAAATTTGACTATTCATATGAAGAGCTGCTATTACAAAATGGCGTTGATTTTTAACCTTCTGATTTTTTTTCCATTTATGACTTAGCAAAAGTAGAAGTGGCCTTGACCTTTTTACATCCATTAACTTTCATATTTCTTATAATTTTTCACTACAGTATATTACAGAATTATTATCTAAACTATAAAACACCAGTTTATCAAATTATTTCAATATTTTTTCTATCTTTGAAAAAAACCATATTTCAAGCGCTGAAACAGTGTTTTTAATTTAGCATCTAAAAGGTTATGTATTTTGGGAAAATTAGTATCTAGTTATAGATAAATAAATATTGTGTATTTGCAAAGTCCGGACAGATCAGTTATAACACAAAAAATATCATAGTCAACCGAGGCGAATGCGAGGTTTAAAAAAAATCATAAGTGTTACTTGCATTGATTTAGCAGTTGATTGAATGTAAAACAAACTCAGTTTGGTGCATGAACATTGTCTTAGTGGGATAATCCTGGTAACAAAGTGTAAACTCGTCAATTTTTTAAGGAAGTAATGGAAAATACAATATAATGCCAATTTGCTAATGTTGTAATTTAAAATCGGCCAAGACCCTTATATAACTTGTATTTTAAAAGCTACATACAATAGCTCTAGTCTTCATTAAATAGGGATATGGATCAATCTCTTCGTCATCGTATGCGGATTCGGTACGCGTATTTGCATTACAACACACATCCCTTTCATGACACAAGCAAGTTCGGTGAAGGACAGAGTTTGTTCAGAGTAAACTCAGCTTTTGAGCACAAAGATTTACCTTTGCAGGTACAAAGTCAATCTTGTAAGTAATCTGATGACAGTTATCCCTTGAAAAATGTTGGGGTTTATCCATTTTTGTCTTCCCGGTCTTCTTGGTCCATGGAATGAAACGTTCCTTACTATCAATTGTCTCCTTGTTGATGACTATATCGTCTGTACCTTTTTGTATCAAACACCCCCCTTGGTGTTTTGAAACAATGCCATCTGGAGCATTAATACCGTCTTGATTCGGTCAAACTCGTGCATGGCAATGCTTGACAGGTATAGTCTTGCCTCTGCATAGGAAACACAAAAGCCATGTGAGTAAAAAGTTTATATCAATGTTCATGACCCATATCCCCATATTCATTATATAACTGCACGGCCAATCCCAAATGTAATGGGCGAATGTTGATTTTGCTACAGAAACGATTGATTTTGTAATAGCCATACATTTGCGAATTTTTTTTTATCTTTAGGGTCAATACGGTTCAGAAGCGACTTTGTTTGATTTTTCACCAATTAACTAACAAATGGACTTAAAAAGCGATGCGGACATCTTTTCCATAGAAGCACCCAACGAGGACAGAGCTTCTAAGAGCGCTAACGGCAGAGTGAAGTAATTGTTCTTCATTTAATGTATCCTTGATATCTTCAAACACACCTTGGTGTAATTCTGAAAGACATAACATAGACTTCAATTCTCCTTCAGATATGGCATCCCCTATAGTGAGCACAGAGCTAAACTCTATTATTGACATCCCTTGTCCCCGCTGTGTCTGAATTGTAAGGTGTCATAATAACTAGTTAGTTTGTTCTGGAGTTTGGCAGTTTGGTAAGCATCAGAGACATTCTTGGGTGAAAGTGATCGGTATATGTCGAGGATGTGCTACATGAGAAAGGCCTTTTTATGGACGAACATATCATCATAAACAATCGTTATCAATTAATTGAAAGCAAGTTTATATATTCTAATTCTTCAGTAACTGCTTTACCTGATTGCACAGGTGTTGACTTCAATAAGTACTTGGTAATGCATGCTGAAAAGTAGACTGCATTTGAAAATAAATCTGTACTCGCGATTTTTACCATGCATAAATGATTACTCACATTATCACACCTCAAAAGAATGTCAACACGTTCAGGCGACTCAATTTTGTGTAGTTTTCTGTTCTTTTTAAATGTTTTGCTTTTACACAAAAAAAAATGTTTTCATATCCAAACTACAAGGAGGAAACTGAGCGCGAGATCGTATAAAAGTGTCAGGTTGTGAGGATACATGTGCATCAGATTGATCACATATTTGGCTTTCTGTTGTTTCTAATTTAAAGACGCTACAATTAAGCCTTCTGGTGAAAGGCTAATAACATCACTAATGATTCACAAATCTTTCGTCCAAGGAAAGCAGAATATCAAGAGATGTTAGTTGTAGCATCACCTTGTCACACACAAAATCTGTGCGAAACATCAATTGTACTTTTTTTCCCGACCGCTTGCATATTAATTGCTTTGAGGTTGAACATTGACATACAATGTATTTGTTCCACACAATATCAAGTCTTCTCCTTTTGGGACTTGTAAGAGTAAACTTTACAGGACTTCCACAACTAGTCATTATACGGAAAAACATCTTATCTGAAGGATTTGGTTAAATTTTATAAAAAGTCAAAATTTTATCAACAAAAATATAACTTATTAACACAAAATACACGAAAGAACTACTATATATAAACAAATCACACTTCAAAAAACTTAAAATTATCTAACTTATCCAAGAAAATGAACATAATCACATTGAAACTATCAAATTCAATGTGAAGGAAAAAATAAATGATGGAGCTGATTGACGGATATGAAATTTCCGTAATAAAAAAAGGTATAAATGATGTTTTTATTTTTGAGTTTTTGACAAAATTCTTTGGAATTTGCCCCACAAAATTTGCATGCAGTATCGCAATGATATATTTTGTCCTCTCAAATGTCAAATACTGTTTTTGAATCATATGTTTTCTCGTTTTCAAAGAAAAATGCGTTAAATTTCAATCTAAAAAACTGCAAACTTTAAGTTTGAGAGTTTTACTCGGGGATGGTATTATATTTATGTCTTCATCATTCCGATGATCCTTCATGATATGTGCATCGAAAATATTTACGAAAAGAGCCGGAAATTTAACAAAATAATTTTGTTTTGGGATTTTAAGGTAACTACCCAAAACCGTAAATTATGGGGTACCCCATTAAAGGGTTAAAATATAAAAATGTGACCAAAGGAACTTTTTACGACCAGACGGAAATTTAAATATAGATATTATTCTATCGTTTAAAACCATTTGTAGCCGTGTGTTATTCCGGAACATTAAACTCGTTAACTAAGCGTCTTTTTCGAGGTCAGTTGCAGTACTAATATTCAATGACCTGGGTTTTTTAATTCTGCCATGTATTATGAATGTTGAGTATTCAGTTGTCTTTCGACTTCTGCTATGTTGTCTAGCCTGTCTAAAATAACACAATTTGATATTTTATCTGCCTTTTTGATTACAATTGTTTTATCATTTTTCAAATTGCGTAATGCTATTCTTTCACCATTAGTAAGATTGTTTTTCACATTTTTTTTCTATTTGAAGAAAAGATAATTCCAGCTGTGTTAAATTGATATAATTTTCTACCGTATGGCACGTAGGAGCAGGTTTATATCCTTTATTGCTTCAAAAGGATGATGATCAGTCTTTTTTCTTGACTGAACACATATCGACATCGTTGTGTTCATTGTTGTGTGTTAGTATAGACATTTTTGCATTTTTGCTTGATGGCGTTGGTATAAATTTCAAGTCTTTCGCTTACAGGATATATATTCTTGATTTGATAATTGGCGTTTGATAGATTAATTACATGTTTTTTTGTTTGTTTTTTTTTCATGTGCAGTTTTCATTAGCAATTCTATTAAAACGACGTGCACTTTTTAGTTCGGATTTGGTGATTCTCTTAGCTATGTGCAATTGTTGATTGAGCCCACATTTGGTGGCTGAAGAACTGTTAGGCTTACACATGATATAAACACAGGCACTTGTCTCTGAAATAAAACTATATACTTTAATATATTAATCACATTAAATTCTATAGATAAAACAATTATAGAGACAAGTGCCTGTGGCTATAAATCTTGAAAAGAGGTCCGTCACATTGACGTGGGTTGGTAGGCGGGGATAGCGGGGTGATGCATGTATAATTGAGTCACATTGTTTTGTGAATTTTTTTTCAAAATATATCAGGTCATTAAGTATATATATAAGACCATAAAGTATTTATATCAGGCCATAAAATATTTATATCAGGTCATAAAGTATTTATATATCAGGGCATAAAGTATTTATATCAGGTCATAAAGTATTTTTAATTCAAGGGAAATTGAATACATGTTATTATCTATATATCTTTATTTCTCATCACCAAATACATAGGTACAGAGAAGATATGTATAATATCACATTAAATACATAAACATAAATATAATATAAACATCAACCACAAAAACAATTTCAATATATTCAGAAGGACACACTCGCTTGTTTATAATTCTTATTAACGTACATAAATTTATGATATCTGTCCTGTTTGTAGAAAAAACATAATTTTATTAAAGAGCATGATATTTGGCATTACATTTAAACCTCTTTTTTTATAAATGTATTTCTCTCTTATAAAAAATGTGAAAAAATTCTATTTTATAATGGCACTCATCCCCTATGTCTAGATAAGTACCGATTATTAGGTTGTCTGCATATTGATATTGTAAAATATCAGTTGCGAGTCACTATATGAAGCTTTTTGTCGAGTGAGCACAGCGAAGGATTTCAAATAGGCTTCATATAATGTCGAGCAGCTGATATTTTACAATATCAATATGCAGCCAACCTGATAATCGGTACTTTAACTTTCTATTGAACTATCTTCCAAGTTCAACTGGAAACGTATGATTACATATTCAGAATTTATAAAACACAAAAAAATCTTTTTCCTCTGAAATATTGAAATAATCTTCAAAACAAAGTATATTCTTAACATTAAGGTAATTCAAAGCTTTCGAACAGCTTTGAATAGTCTGACTCCATGTCTGTTTGAATTTATCACACAATCTTGCTTATATAATATATTTCAACCAGATATCATTTAAAAGTACTGTGTGTCTCCTGACTTTCATGTACAAAAATTGGAGCGAGCGATGGCATTTAAAAAAAGTGAAAATGAAACAGTTGATTTCATTGCATTGATGCGATTATTTACAGAGTCTTCAGTGACTGGCGCTAACTTTTTTTATATGTTTCCAAAATTTTGAAGCGAGCGAGTCCGAATAATTATGAATCAATTTGGAGTGTCCTAAATGTCGAGCGCTCACATTATTTTTCTGTGGAAAGTAAATTTGCTATTTTTTTTTTTGTATCGAATTAAGAATTAACAACTGTGTCCATAACAGAGTGATCATTGCTTATGTGTTACAGCAACATTAGATCTTTTACACTAATTTTGTTATATTTTTACAGAGACTACGATACTACCGTGTGATACAGTTGAAGGTATGGAAGACCCAGCATTAATTGCTCCAGGAAGTATTACATCAAACGTTCCAACACAAAATGATATTGAGGAAATCCGACCTGGAGGAGATTTATTAATCATACCGGACGTACCTGATCAAAATCCATCAATAATCATAACATTAGATGCAAGACCAGAATTAGGAAACATAGACATTGTGCCGCTCTCTGATGAAAGCAATGTGGCTTCGTATATTGTTAGCGTGCAAGATTTTGACGACGTCAATCCTCGGCAGATTGGACCTGTAAGCAATTTAACTCTATGTTATTTACACGTTCGTGCATACATAATGCTAAATTTAGAGGAAAATAAGTTCTATATCATATATATATACCTTCAAAATCGTTTTGTTAAAATATACTTTTTTCACTTTTTTGGTCTTTTGGAAAATGTTGTTTGTGCTGTATTTAGACCCCGCTAACAAGAAATTTGTTTTGCATGCACACGTATAAAAATTGCGGTTTATATCCAACGCAATCATAGGTTTGAACGTTGTTTTCAATTTAGACTTGTTTATATTTTTTCGTTTGGGCTTGTATTATATTTGCCTTCGGGTTTATATGATCCGTTCATCCAATTTGACTCCTCAAAATTCAAGAGTCTATCCTAAATTGAGTTAAATTGTATGGCTTTCCAAATACCGTTTCGATTCCTAACATCACTGAAGAGACATTAATTGTCGAAATCCGGATATGGTGTACAAAAACCTTTGCACCTTTTGTTTGCGGTATACCATCTTTTCCGCAAGTTTATTGTTTTCTTTTTAGTATTTAATTTATGATTAAGATCCATTTATTACATCTGGTGATCAATTTATTTGGCAATCGTCAATGGCAGTCAGCAGGGTTTAAGAAAATCAGTTGTTCGACCTGTTAGTCAAATGCGTTTTGTTAAAATATACTTTTCACTTTTTGGTCTTTTGAAAAATGTTGTTTGTGCTGTATTTAGACCCCTCTACCAAGAAATTAGTTTTGCATGCACACGTATAAAAGTTTTTATCCAACGCAATCATAGGTTTGAACGTTGTTTTCAATTTAGACTTGTATATATATATATATATATATAAGAATATAAAGGAATAACACATCGATGGTAAAAAGCAAAACTAATTGACTCAACAAACACCACACATGACAAGAACGGGAAAAACTTGTTGATATAAGTTTAACATTTCAAATACAGTGGAGCTAACCATAAAAATACAATTTTTGAGAGGTGAATTTGCGAAATATACCAGTCTTGAAAGCTTACTGTTTATTTCAAACCAGAAGCAATACATGTACAGCTTATAGGTATATCAGAAATATATAAATTTATGTATATTAGATACACCTGATGGGAGCCCGAATGGGCGTCATTTACACAAAAATATTATTAAGTGTCAATGCAAGTTGATAGTTTTCAATATTTAGGAAAGGGGGAGAGGGAAGGTCTTCCAGCGATTTGATCTTATTTAAAAGCATGATTAATGAAGGATATCCAATTTCATTTAACAACATCTTGGTGTAAATTATAATAGAACATTATAAATACAATCGGAGGGAAAACTACAAAGTAAAAATAATTCAAATAAATTTAATGACACTCTACTTAAACCGTTTAAAACACTTTCTACTAACGCATGAACTAAATTGATTGAGTAAAACGTTCTAGTGGTATGTACACCTGTACTGGTATGATACTGATGTTTAATTGTACAGGTCTATGACGGAGACGATGTTGCCATATTCCCAGCTGATACATATGCAGACAGAGTTATTATTACATTTTTGACCAAAAACAATCCAAATCAACCTTACTATGTAGACGTTGAACTTCATGCTTGTTTTGTCGGTATGTATTTAATCAATGTAGTGGCGTAGCTTCTTTCTAGTGAAGCAAATGATTTGAGTCAAATACTCAGCGCGGCTAAAAGACAGCGATGATGATTGTGAGTGGACGGTTAACAGTTGTAAACCGGCATTGAAAAATACATTTCAACGTTTACAAATTGCAAAATATTTGATTGATTGTTTTATGCCTAACACTTAGTGACAAATATTTCATGCATATTCAGGACAAACTTATAATAATCCAATACATAGGTGTTGCGAAGTTGCTGGTCGAGATTGAGACCACGAATTTCGACTGCAACTTGAAAATATATGAGGATTTGTTAGACAGGGACAGAAATGTTGCCTTGAAACAGACCCTTTACGGACTCCGGACACAATTCATTCAATGGCCGTTTTACACGCTGACAGCGTGTCTTTGTCAGCGTGTCTTTATTTCTGTACACCAGTACAACATTTGGGTTATTGCATGTAGAATTAAAATAATCTAGCTAAATATCCTGAATCATGCAGCAGCTCCGGATTGGGTAAAAAGTTCTTGTCTACGCTAAATTCTGATTTTTGGAATATTGTTATCATGAAATAATAGTGCTTTTCAATGCTCAATAATTCAATACATTTGGTCGGTTGAAAACAAAACTTTACGACAAAAGAGATGATTTCAGCTTCCCAATTGTGAACTTTCCATTTCTATGTAGCAACATTCCAGCAGCGCCTGCATACGGAGTATATATCTCCCAGTTGATACGATATTCCAGGGCTTGTATTTTCTATCATGATTTTCTTGATAGAGGGTTGCTGCTCACAAGGAAGCTATTAAACCAAGAGTTCCAAGTGGTGAAGTTGAAATCATCCCTTCGTAAGTTTTACGGACGCCATCACGAGATGGTTGAGCGTTATCGAATATCCGTTTCACAGATGATAGCGGATATGTTCCTAATGTCGTAACTACAATCCCGTCCCCCCTTTTCCCGAATGTGACCTACCGAATTAGACTTATTACCGGGTGTGTACTAACATGAGCAACACGACGAGTGCCACATGTTGAGCAGGATCTGCTTACCCTTCCGGAGCACCTGAGATCACGCCCAGTTTTTTGGTGGGGTTCGTGTTGCTCAGTCTTTAGTTTTCTATGTTGTGTTTTGTGTACTATTGTTTGTCTGTTTGTCTTTTTCTTTTTTAGTCATGGCGTTGTCAGTTTATTTTCGACTTATGAGTGTCCCTATGGTATCTTTCGCCTCTCTCTTGAATAAGTTTTAAATTTAAAACTGCTGGTTAAAATCTGAATCTCGATATTTGGATTAAGAAAGGTCTTGATTACCTCTTAAATGCTTTTGTACAGATTCTGTGTAGTTAAAAGTTTAAAATTTCAACTTTACACACTTAGGGAGGTTTGTCACAATGCATGGATATATCATAACTGGATGAACTATGAACTAGCTTTCAGTAACTGCCAATACTCTTATATCGGTGCTTTGTGTCCACTGTTTTTATGTTATTTGGTTTATTTTGCTTCGTACCAATTAATTGAGTTAAGCTATTTGAAACTGATTTTTACAGTTTGTTCTTCTTAAGTTGTGCTGTAACACCAGTGTCCCGGGTTAGGGGAGGGCTGGGCGATCACAAACAACATGTTTAACCCCGCCACATACATGATGTTTTGCCTGTCCCAGGTCAGGAAGGAGCCTGTAATTCAGTGGTTGTCGTTGGTTCGTGTTTGTCATATTTGGTTTTTGTTTATTGTATAGATTAGGCCATAATTTACCTGGTTTGAATTGTTTCACATTTTTTCATGTCGGGTCTTTGATAGCTTATTTATATGTCTCATAACAAGATATTATTTAAATAGAATCGCTTGTCAGTTTTTCGTCTCATTTTAGTTTAACAACAAACGAGGCTTAAGCGAGTGTATTATTATTATTGCAATTAAATAATGGGAGTTGATACCTAGAGACATCGTATTCTCACGATTTAAGCTATTTCTCTCATGACCCTGTTACTGTAAAAAATCTCTTTATGTGACCTATTAATTGATTGAATGCTTATACAACTCAGTGTGAAATGTTTTAATAAATGAATACATGTTATATTATATTTATAATACGAGAGAGAGAGAGAGAATTCACATGCTTATCATATGTATATGAACAGCAATATAGATACAATTTTCAACTGAAACATGACTGAAAAAAATTATTTACCTTGGCTTCATGTTCGTTATAATTGTCATTTCCGGTTGATCGATTAAAGATAACGTGTATCTTGCGCATTGATAATTTCAAATGAATCTTAAAGTACAGCGTGTTGATATTTCAGTGGAAAAATTAATTAAGTTGGAATTTATTCGTCTTTGGTATCATAAATATATACCTGTTTATTGTGGTGAGTGTGCTCCTTATAAGCACACTTATTGTTAAAATGCCTTGTGTGACCGGTTTATGGTTAAATAAGTTTATGGGATTTAGCTTGTTATTTTCTGTCATAACTGGTTTTTGGTTTATTGATGTAATATAAATCGGACTGTTGAATTTCTCTTTTCAATTGTTTCATTCTTTGTAACCCTGGGACATTAAATAGTCTTCTACAGTAACACGTTATGCGTTTTTCTCACTGTTGAAAGTCGTACAAAACCCAGTAATTTTTCACATTTTTTTCCCTTTACGGATAGTTGTCTCATTGTCAGTCACATCATATCTCATTACTTTTATATTTCTTTATAGTCATATGTCTTGTAAATTTTGGAATATACACTTCTACAAAGTCTTTATATATCCTTGTGTGACGTAAGTAATGTTTTCAGTATAGTTAGTTTGATAAATATAAATTCTGAATTACAGAATAAAATACGATTTCAAATAATGTTCTACACTGTTATTTTTCTTTTCTATTCTCAGGTACCACAGTGAGTGGGACAACCATATCTGGCACGGTACCATCAGTAAGTGGAACAACTGTCTCTGTTTCAGGACCATCTGTTACAGGAACAACTATTCCTAGTGTAGGACCATCCGTAACTGGGCCATCAGTCAGTGGAACAACGGTCTCTGCTACAGTACCATCAGTTACTGGAACAACTGTCCCTGGAACTGGGCCATCAGCTAGTGGATCAACTATCTCTGTTACAGTACCACCTGTAAGTGGGACAACCATATCTGGCACAGTACCATCAGTAAGTGGAACAACTGTCTCTGTTTCAGGACCATCTGTTACAGGAACAACTATTCCTAGTGTAGGACCATCCGTAACTGGGCCATCAGTCAGTGGAACAACGGTCTCTGCTACAGTACCATCAGTTACTGGAACAACTGTCCCTGGAACTGGACCATCAGCTAGTGGATCAACTATCTCTGTTACAGTACCACCTGTAAGTGGTACAACCATATCTGGCACAGTACCATCAGTAAGTGGAACAACTGTCTCTGTTTCAGGACCATCTGTTACAGGAACAACTATTCCTAGTGTAGGACCATCCGTAACTGGGCCATCAGTCAGTGGAACAACGGTCTCTGCTACAGTACCATCAGTTACTGGAACAACTGTTCCTGGTACTGGGCCATCAGCTAGTGGATCAACTATCTCTGTTACAATACCACCTGTAAGTGGGACAACCATATCTGGCACAGTACCATCAGTAAGTGGAACAACTGTCTCTGTTTCAGGACCATCTGTTACAGGAACAACTATTCCTAGTGTAGGACCATCTGTAACTGGGCCATCAGTCAGTGGAACAACGGTCTCTGCTACATTACCATCAGTTACTGGAACAACTGTCCCTGGAACTGGGCCATCAGCTAGTGGATCAACTATCTCTGTTACAGTACCACCTGTAAGTGGGACAACCATATCTGGCACAGTACCATCAGTAAGTGGAACAACTGTCTCTGTTTCAGGACCATCTGTTACAGGAACAACTATTCCTAGTGTAGGACCATCCGTAACTGGGCCATCAGTCAGTGGAACAACGGTCTCTGCTACAGTACCATCAGTTACTGGAACAACTGTCCCTGGAACTGGGCCATCAGCTAGTGGATCAACTATCTCTGTTACAATACCACCTGTAAGTGGGACAACCATATCTGGCACAGTACCATCAGTAAGTGGAACAACTGTCTCTGTTTCAGGACCATCTGTTACAGGAACAACTATTCCTAGTGTAGGACCATCCGTAACTGGGCCATCAGTCAGTGGAACAATGGTCTCTGCTACAGTACCATCAGTTACTGGAACAACTGTTGCTGGAACTCGGCCATCAGTTAGTGGATCAACTATCTCTGTTACAGTACCACCTGTAAGTGGGACAACCATATCTGGCACGGTACCATCAGTAAGTGGAACAACTGTCTCTGTTTCAGGACCATCTGTTACAGGAACAACTATTCCTAGTGTAGGAACATCCGTTACTGGGCCATCAGTCAGTGGAACAACGGTCTCTGCTACAGTACCATCAGTTACTGGAACAACTGTCCCTGGAACTGGGCCATCAGTCAGTGGATCAACTATCTCTGTTACAGTACCACCTGTAAGTAGGACAACCATATCTGGCACAGTACCATCAGTAAGTGGAACAACTGTCTCTGTTTCAGGGCCATCTGTTACAGGAACAACTATTCCTAGTGTAGGAACATCTGTAACTGGGCCATCAGTCAGTGAAACAACGGTCTCTGCTACAGTACCATCAGTTACTGGAACAACTGTCCCTGGAACTGGGCCATCAGTCAGTGGATCAACTCTCTCTGTTACAGTACCACCTGTAAGTGGGACAACCATATCTGGCACAGTACCATCAGTAAGTGGAACAACTGTCTCTGTTTCAGGACCATCTGTTACAGGAACAACTATTCCTAGTGTAGGACCATCCGTAACTGGGCCATCAGTCAGTGGAACAACGGTCTCTGCTACAGTACCATCAGTTACTGGAACAACTGTTGCTGGAACTGGGCCATCAGTTAGTGGATCAACTATCTCTGTTACAGTACCACCTGTAAGTGGGACAACCATATCTGGCACGGTACCATCAGTAAGTGGAACAACTGTCTCTGTTTCAGGACCATCTGTTACAGGAACAACTATTCCTAGTGTAGGACCATCCGTAACTGGGCCATCAGTCAGTGGAACAACGGTCTCTGCTACAGTACCATCAGTTACTGGAACAACTGTCCCTCGAACTGGGCCATCAGCTAGTGGATCAACTATCTCTGTTACAGTACCACCTGTAAGTGGTACAACCATATCTGGCACAGTACCATCAGTAAGTGGAACAACTGTCTCTGTTTCAGGACCATCTGTTACAGGAACAACTATTCCTAGTGTAGGAACATCCGTTACTGGGCCATCAGTCAGTGGAATAACGGTCTCTGCTACAGTACCATCAGTTACTGGAACAACTGTCCCTGGAACTGGGCCATCAGTCAGTGGATCAACTATCTCTGTTACAGTACCACCTGTAAGTGGGACAACCATATCTGGCACAGTACCATCAGTAAGTGGAACAACTGTCTCTGTTTCAGGACCATCTGTTACAGGAACAACTATTCCTAGTGTAGGACCATCCGTAACTGGGCCATCAGTCAGTGGAACAACGGTCTCTGCTACAGTGTCATCAGTTACTGGAACAACTGTTGCTGGAACTGGGCCATCAGTTAGTGGATCAACTATCTCTGTTACAGTACCACCTGTAAGTGGGACAACCATATCTGGCACGGTACCATCAGTAAGTGGAACAACTGTCTCTGTTTCAGGACCATCTGTTACAGGAACAACTATTCCTAGTGTAGGACCATCCGTAACTGGGCCATCAGTCAGTGGAACAACGGTCTCTGCTACAGTACCATCAGTTACTGGAACAACTGTCCCTGGAACTGGGCCATCAGCTAGTGGATCAACTATCTCTGTTACAGTACCACCTGTAAGTGGTACAACCATATCTGGCACAGTACCATCAGTAAGTGGAACAACTGTCTCTGTTTCAGGACCATCTGTTACAGGAACAACTATTCCTAGTGTAGGAACATCCGTAACTGGGCCATCAGTCAGTGGAACAACGGTATCTGCTACAGTACCATCAGTTACTGGAACAACTGTCCCTGGAACTGGGCCATCAGTCAGTGGATCAACTATCTCTGTTACAGTACCACCTGTAAGTGGGACAACCATATCTGGCACAGTACCATCAGTAAGTGGAACAACTGTCTCTGTTTCAGGACCATCTGTTACAGGAACAACTATTCCTAGTGTAGGACCATCCGTAACTGGGCCATCAGTCAGTGGAACAACGGTATCTGCTACAGTACCATCAGTTACTGGAACAACTGTCCCTGGAACTGGGCCATCAGCTAGTGGATCAACTATCTCTGTTACAATACCACCTGTAAGTGGGACAACCATATCTGGCACAGTACCATCAGTAAAAGGCACAACTGTCTCTGTTTCAGGACCATCTGTTACAGGAACAAATATTCCTAGTGTAGGACCATCCGTAACTGGGCCATCAGTCAGTGGAACAACGGTCTCTGCTACAGTACCATCACTTACTGGAACAACTGTCCCTGGAACTGGGCCATCAGCTAGTGGATCAACTATCTCTGTTACAGTACCACCTGTAAGTGGTACAACCATATCTGGCACAGTACCATCAGTAAGTGGAACAACTGTCTCTGTTTCAGGACCATCTGTTACAGGAACAACTATTCCTAGTGTAGGAACATCCGTTACTGGTCCATCAGTCAGTGGAACAACGGTCTCTGCTACAGTACCATCAGTTACTGGAACAACTGTCCCTGGAACTGGACCATCAGCTAGTGGATCAACTATCTCTGTTACAATACCACCTGTAAGTGGGACAACCATATCTGGCACAGTACCATCAGTAAGTGAAACAACTGTCTCTGTTTCAGGGCCATCTGTTACAGGAACAACTATTCCTAGTGTAGGAACATCTGTAACTGGGCCATCAGTCAGTGGAACAACGGTCTCTGCTATAGTACCATCAGTTACTGGAACAACTGTCCCTGGAACTGGGCCATCAGCTAGTGGATCAACTATCTCTGTTACAATACCACCTGTAAGTGGGACAACCATATCTGGCACAGTACCATCAGTAAGTGGAACAACTGTCTCTGTTTCAGGACCATCTGTTACAGGAACAACTATTCCTAGTGTAGGACCATCCGTAACTGGGCCATCAGTCAGTGGAACAACAGTATCTGCTACAGTACCATCAGTTACTGGAACAACTGTTGCTGGAACTGGGCCATCAGTTAGTGGATCAACTATCTCTGTTACAGTACCACCTGTAAGTGGGACAACCATATCTGGCACGGTACCATCAGTAAGTGGAACAACTGTCTCTGTTTCAGGACCATCTGTTACAGGAACAACTATTCCTAGTGTAGGACCATCCGTAACTGGGCCATCAGTCAGTGGAACAACGGTCTCTGCTACAGTACCATCAGTTACTGGAACAACTGTCCCTGGAACTGGGCCATCAGCTAGTGGATCAACTATCTCTGTTACAGTACCACCTGTAAGTGGTACAACCATATCTGGCACAGTACCATCAGTAAGTGGAACAACTGTCTCTGTTTCAGGGCCATCTGTTACAGGAACAACTATTCCTAGTGCAGGAACATCTGTAACTGGGCCATCAGTCAGTGGAACAACGGTCTCTGCTATAGTACCATCAGTTACTGGAACAACTGTCCCTGGAACTGGGCCTTCAGCTAGTGGATCAACTATCTCTGTTACAATACCACCTGTAAGTGGGACAACCATATCTGGCACAGTACCATCAGTAAGTGGAACAACTGTCTCTGTTTCAGGACCATCTGTTACAGGAACAACTATTCCTAGTGTAGGACCATCCGTAACTGGGCCATCAGTCAGTGGAACAACGGTATCTGCTACAGTACCATCAGTTACTGGAACAACTGTCCCTGGAACTGGGCCATCAGTTAGTGGATCAACTATCTCTGTTACAGTACCACCTGTAAGTGGGACAACCATATCTGGCACGGTACCATCAGTAAGTGGAACAACTGTCTCTGTTTCAGGACCATCTGTTACAGGAACAACTATTCCTAGTGTAGGACCATCCGTAACTGGGCCATCAGTCAGTGGAACAACGGTCTCTGCTACAGTACCATCAGTTACTGGAACAACTATTGCTGGAACTGGGCCATCAGTTAGTGGATCAACTATCTCTGTTACAGTACCACCTGTAAGTGGGACAACCATATCTGGCACGGTACCATCAGTAAGTGGAACAACTGTCTCTGTTTCAGGACCATCTGTTACAGGAACAACTATTCCTAGTGTAGGACCATCCGTAACTGGGCCATCAGTCAGTGGAACAACGGTCTCTGCTACAGTACCATCAGTTACTGGAACAACTGTTGCTGGAACTGGGCCATCAGTTAGTGGATCAACTATCTCTGTTACAGTACCACCTGTAAGTGGGACAACCATATCTGGCACGGTACCATCAGTAAGTGGAACAACTGTCTCTGTTTCAGGACCATCTGTTACAGGAACAACTATTCCTAGTGTAGGACCATCCGTAACTGGGCCATCAGTCAGTGGAACAACGGTCTCTGCTACAGTACCATCAGTTACTGGAACAACTGTTGCTGGAACTGGGCCATCAGTTAGTGGATCAACTATCTCTGTTACAGTACCACCTGTAAGTGGGACAACCATATCTGGCACGGTACCATCAGTAAGTGGAACAACTGTCTCTGTTTCAGGACCATCTGTTACAGGAACAACTATTCCTAGTGTAGGACCATCCGTAACTGGGCCATCAGTCAGTGGAACAACGGTCTCTGCTACAGCACCATCAGTTACTGGAACAACTGTTGCTGGAACTGGGCCATCAGTTAGTGGATCAACTATCTCTGTTACAGTACCACCTGTAAGTGGGACAACCATATCTGGCACGGTACCATCAGTAAGTGGAACAACTGTCTCTGTTTCAGGACCATCTGTTACAGGAACAACTATTCCTAGTGTAGGACCATCCGTAACTGGGCCATCAGTCAGTGGAACAACGGTCTCTGCTACAGTACCATCAGTTACTGGAACAACTGTCCCTGGAACTGGGCCATCAGCTAGTGGATCAACTATCTCTGTTACAGTACCACCTGTAAGTGGTACAACCATATCTGGCACAGTACCATCAGTAAGTGGAACAACTGTCTCTGTTTCAGGGCCATCTGTTACAGGAACAACTATTCCTAGTGCAGGAACATCTGTAACTGGGCCATCAGTCAGTGGAACAACGGTCTCTGCTATAGTACCATCAGTTACTGGAACAACTGTCCCTGGAACTGGGCCTTCAGCTAGTGGATCAACTATCTCTGTTACAATACCACCTGTAAGTGGGACAACCATATCTGGCACAGTACCATCAGTAAGTGGAACAACTGTCTCTGTTTCAGGACCATCTGTTACAGGAACAACTATTCCTAGTGTAGGACCATCCGTAACTGGGCCATCAGTCAGTGGAACAACGGTATCTGCTACAGTACCATCAGTTACTGGAACAACTATTGCTGGAACTGGGCCATCAGTTAGTGGATCAACTATCTCTGTTACAGTACCACCTGTAAGTGGGACAACCTTATCTGGCACGGTACCATCAGTAAGTGGAACAACTCTCTCTGTTTCAGGACCATCTGTTACAGGAACAACTATTCCTAGTGTAGGACCATCCGTAACTGGGCCATCAGTCAGTGGAACAACGGTCTCTGCTACAGTACCATCAGTTACTGGAACAACTGTTGCTGGAACTGGGCCATCAGTTAGTGGATCAACTATCTCTGTTACAGTACCACCTGTAAGTGGTACAACCATATCTGGCACAGTACCATCAGTAAGTGGAACAACTGTCTCTGTTTCAGGACCATCTGTTACAGGAACAACTATTCCTAGTGTAGGAACATCCGTACCTGGGCCATCAGTCAGTGGAACAACGGTCTCTGCTACAGTACCATCAGTTACTGGAACAACTGTCCCTGGAACTGGGCCATCAGCTAGTGGATCAACTATCTCTGTTACAATACCACCTGTAAGTGGGACAACCATATCTGGCACAGTACCATCAGTAAGTGGAACAACTGTCTCTGTTTCAGGGCCATCTGTTACAGGAACAACTATTCCTAGTGTAGGAACATCTGTAACTGGGCCATCAGTCAGTGGAACAACGGTCTCTGCTATAGTACCATCAGTTACTGGAACAACTGTCCCTGGAACTGGGCCATCAGCTAGTGGATCAACTATCTCTGTTACAATACCACCTGTAAGTGGGACAACCATATCTGGCACAGTACCATCAGTAAGTGGAACAACTGTCTCTGTTTCAGGACCATCTGTTACAGGAACAACTATTCCTAGTGTAGGACCATCCGTAACTGGGCCATCAGTCAGTGGAACAACAGTATCTGCTACAGTACCATCAGTTACTGGAACAACTGTCCCTGGAACTGGGCCATCAGTTAGTGGATCAACTATCTCTGTTACAGTACCACCTGTAAGTGGGACAACCATATCTGGCACGGTACCATCAGTAAGTGGAACAACTGTCTCTGTTTCAGGACCATCTGTTACAGGAACAACTATTCCTAGTGTAGGACCATCCGTAACTGGGCCATCAGTCAGTGGAACAACGGTCTCTGCTACAGTACCATCAGTTACTGGAACAACTGTTGCTGGAACTGGGCCATCAGTTAGTGGATCAACTATCTCTGTTACAGTACCACCTGTAAGTGGGACAACCATATCTGGCACGGTACCATCAGTAAGTGGAACAACTGTCTCTGTTTCAGGACCATCTGTTACAGGAACAACTATTCCTAGTGTAGGACCATCCGTAACTGGGCCATCAGTCAGTGGAACAACGGTCTCTGCTACAGTACCATCAGTTACTGGAACAACTGTTGCTGGAACTGGGCCATCAGTTAGTGGATCAACTATCTCTGTTACAGTACCACCTGTAAGTGGGACAACCATATCTGGCACGGTACCATCAGTAAGTGGAACAACTGTCTCTGTTTCAGGACCATCTGTTACAGGAACAACTATTCCTAGTGTAGGACCATCCGTAACTGGGCCATCAGTCAGTGGAACAACGGTCTCTGCTACAGTACCATCAGTTACTGGAACAACTGTCCCTGGAACTGGGCCATCAGCTAGTGGATCAACTATCTCTGTTACAGTACCACCTGTAAGTGGTACAACCATATCTGGCACAGTACCATCAGTAAGTGGAACAACTGTCTCTGTTTCAGGGCCATCTGTTACAGGAACAACTATTCCTAGTGCAGGAACATCTGTAACTGGGCCATCAGTCAGTGGAACAACGGTCTCTGCTATAGTACCATCAGTTACTGGAACAACTGTCCCTGGAACTGGGCCATCAGCTAGTGGATCAACTATCTCTGTTACAATACCACCTGTAAGTGGGACAACCATATCTGGCACAGTACCATCAGTAAGTGGAACAACTGTCTCTGTTTCAGGACCATCTGTTACAGGAACAACTATTCCTAGTGTAGGACCATCCGTAACTGGGCCATCAGTCAGTGGAACAACGGTATCTGCTACAGTACCATCAGTTACTGGAACAACTGTTGCTGGAACTGGGCCATCAGTTAGTGGATCAACTATCTCTGTTACAGTACCACCTGTAACTGGGACAACCATATCTGGCACGGTACCATCAGTAAGTGGAACAACTGTCTCTGTTTCAGGACCATCTGTTACAGGAACAACTATTCCTAGTGTAGGACCATCCGTAACTGGGCCATCAGTCAGTGGAACAACGGTCTCTGCTACAGTACCATCAGTTACTGGAACAACTGTTGCTGGAACTGGGCCATCAGTTAGTGGATCAACTATCTCTGTTACAGTACCACCTGTAAGTGGGACAACCATATCTGGCACGGTACCATCAGTAAGTGGAACAACTGTCTCTGTTTCAGGACCATCTGTTACAGGAACAACTATTCCTAGTGTAGGACCATCCGTAACTGGGCCATCAGTCAGTGGAACAACGGTCTCTGCTACAGTACCATCAGTTACTGGAACAACTGCTGCTGGAACTGGGCCATCAGTTAGTGGATCAACTATCTCTGTTACAGTACCACCTGTAAGTGGGACAACCATATCTGGCACGGTACCATCAGTAAGTGGAACAACTGTCTCTGTTTCAGGACCATCTGTTACAGGAACAACTATTCCTAGTGTAGGACCATCCGTAACTGGGCCATCAGTCAGTGGAACAACGGTCTCTGCTATAGTACCATCAGTTACTGGAACAACTGTCCCTGGAACTGGGCCATCAGCTAGTGGATCAACTATCTCTGTTACAATACCACCTGTAAGTGGGACAACCATATCTGGCACAGTACCATCAGTAAGTGGAACAACTGTCTCTGTTTCAGGACCATCTGTTACAGGAACAACTATTCCTAGTGTAGGACCATCCGTAACTGGGCCATCAGTCAGTGGAACAACAGTATCTGCTACAGTACCATCAGTTACTGGAACAACTGTTGCTGGAACTGGGCCATCAGTTAGTGGATCAACTATCTCTGTTACAGTACCACCTGTAAGTGGGACAACCATATCTGGCACGGTACCATCAGTAAGTGGAACAACTGTCTCTGTTTCAGGACCATCTGTTACAGGAACAACTATTCCTAGTGTAGGACCATCCGTAACTGGGCCATCAGTCAGTGGAACAACGGTCTCTGCTACAGTACCATCAGTTACTGGAACAACTGTTGCTGGAACTGGGCCATCAGTTAGTGGATCAACTATCTCTGTTACAGTACCACCTGTAAGTGGGACAACCATATCTGGCACGGAACCATCAGTAAGTGGAACAACTGTCTCTGTTTCAGGACCATCTGTTACAGGAACAACTATTCCTAGTGTAGGACCATCCGTAACTGGGCCATCAGTCAGTGGAACAACGGTCTCTGCTACAGTACCATCAGTTACTGGAACAACTGTTGCTGGAACTGGGCCATCAGTTAGTGGATCAACTATCTCTGTTACAGTACCACCTGTAAGTGGGACAACCATATCTGGCACGGTACCATCAGTAAGTGGAACAACTGTCTCTGTTTCAGGACCATCTGTTACAGGAACAACTATTCCTAGTGTAGGACCATCCGTAACTGGGCCATCAGTCAGTGGAACAACGGTCTCTGCTACAGTACCATCAGTTACTGGAACAACTGTCCCTGGAACTGGGCCATCAGCTAGTGGATCAACTATCTCTGTTACAGTACCACCTGTAAGTGGTACAACCATATCTGGCACAATACCATCAGTAAGTGGAACAACTGTCTCTGTTTCAGGGCCATCTGTTACAGGAACAACTATTCCTAGTGCAGGAACATCTGTAACTGGGCCATCAGTCAGTGGAACAACGGTCTCTGCTATAGTACCATCAGTTACTGGAACAACTGTCCCTGGAACTGGGCCTTCAGCTAGTGGATCAACTATCTCTGTTACAATACCACCTGTAAGTGGGACAACCATATCTGGCACAGTACCATCAGTAAGTGGAACAACTGTCTCTGTTTCAGGACCATCTGTTACAGGAACAACTATTCCTAGTGTAGGACCATCCGTAACTGGGCCATCAGTCAGTGGAACAACGGTATCTGCTACAGTACCATCAGTTACTGGAACAACTGTTGCTGGAACTGGGCCATCAGTTAGTGGATCAACTATCTCTGTTACAGTACCACCTGTAACTGGGACAACCATATCTGGCACGGTACCATCAGTAAGTGGAACAACTGTCTCTGTTTCAGGACCATCTGTTACAGGAACAACTATTCCTAGTGTAGGACCATCCGTAACTGGGCCATCAGTCAGTGGAACAACGGTCTCTGCTACAGTACCATCAGTTACTGGAACAACTGTTGCTGGAACTGGGCCATCAGTTAGTGGATCAACTATCTCTGTTACAGTACCACCTGTAAGTGGGACAACCATATCTGGCACGGTACCATCAGTAAGTGGAACAACTGTCTCTGTTTCAGGACCATCTGTTACAGGAACAACTATTCCTAGTGTAGGACCATCCGTAACTGGGCCATCAGTCAGTGGAACAACGGTCTCTGCTACAGTACCATCAGTTACTGGAACAACTGCTGCTGGAACTGGGCCATCAGTTAGTGGATCAACTATCTCTGTTACAGTACCACCTGTAAGTGGGACAACCATATCTGGCACGGTACCATCAGTAAGTGGAACAACTGTCTCTGTTTCAGGACCATCTGTTACAGGAACAACTATTCCTAGTGTAGGACCATCCGTAACTGGGCCATCAGTCAGTGGAACAACGGTCTCTGCTACAGTACCATCAGTTACTGGAACAACTGTTGCTGGAACTGGGCCATCAGTTAGTGGATCAACTATCTCTGTTACAGTACCACCTGTAAGTGGGACAACCATATCTGGCACGGTACCATCAGTAAGTGGAACAACTGTCTCTGTTTCAGGACCATCTGTTACAGGAACAACTATTCCTAGTGTAGGACCATCCGTAACTGGGCCATCAGTCAGTGGAACAACGGTCTCTGCTACAGTACCATCAGTTACTGGAACAACTGTTGCTGGAACTGGGCCATCAGTTAGTGGATCAACTATCTCTGTTACAGTACCACCTGTAAGTGGGACAACCATATCTGGCACGGTACCATCAGTAAGTGGAACAACTGTCTCTGTTTCAGGACCATCTGTTACAGGAACAACTATTCCTAGTGTAGGACCATCCGTAACTGGGCCATCAGTCAGTGGAACAACGGTCTCTGCTACAGTACCATCAGTTACTGGAACAACTGTCCCTGGAACTGGGCCATCAGCTAGTGGATCAACTATCTCTGTTACAGTACCACCTGTAAGTGGTACAACCATATCTGGCACAATACCATCAGTAAGTGGAACAACTGTCTCTGTTTCAGGGCCATCTGTTACAGGAACAACTATTCCTAGTGCAGGAACATCTGTAACTGGGCCATCAGTCAGTGGAACAACGGTCTCTGCTATAGTACCATCAGTTACTGGAACAACTGTCCCTGGAACTGGGCCTTCAGCTAGTGGATCAACTATCTCTGTTACAATACCACCTGTAAGTGGGACAACCATATCTGGCACAGTACCATCAGTAAGTGGAACAACTGTCTCTGTTTCAGGACCATCTGTTACAGGAACAACTATTCCTAGTGTAGGACCATCCGTAACTGGGCCATCAGTCAGTGGAACAACGGTATCTGCTACAGTACCATCAGTTACTGGAACAACTGTTGCTGGAACTGGGCCATCAGTTAGTGGATCAACTATCTCTGTTACAGTACCACCTGTAACTGGGACAACCATATCTGGCACGGTACCATCAGTAAGTGGAACAACTGTCTCTGTTTCAGGACCATCTGTTACAGGAACAACTATTCCTAGTGTAGGACCATCCGTAACTGGGCCATCAGTCAGTGGAACAACGGTCTCTGCTACAGTACCATCAGTTACTGGAACAACTGTTGCTGGAACTGGGCCATCAGTTAGTGGATCAACTATCTCTGTTACAGTACCACCTGTAAGTGGGACAACCATATCTGGCACGGTACCATCAGTAAGTGGAACAACTGTCTCTGTTTCAGGACCATCTGTTACAGGAACAACTATTCCTAGTGTAGGACCATCCGTAACTGGGCCATCAGTCAGTGGAACAACGGTCTCTGCTACAGTACCATCAGTTACTGGAACAACTGCTGCTGGAACTGGGCCATCAGTTAGTGGATCAACTATCTCTGTTACAGTACCACCTGTAAGTGGGACAACCATATCTGGCACGGTACCATCAGTAAGTGGAACAACTGTCTCTGTTTCAGGACCATCTGTTACAGGAACAACTATTCCTAGTGTAGGACCATCCGTAACTGGGCCATCAGTCAGTGGAACAACGGTCTCTGCTACAGTACCATCAGTTACTGGAACAACTGTTGCTGGAACTGGGCCATCAGTTAGTGGATCAACTATCTCTGTTACAGTACCACCTGTAAGTGGGACAACCATATCTGGCACGGTACCATCAGTAAGTGGAACAACTGTCTCTGTTTCAGGACCATCTGTTACAGGAACAACTATTCCTAGTGTAGGACCATCCGTAACTGGGCCATCAGTCAGTGGAACAACGGTCTCTGCTACAGTACCATCAGTTACTGGAACAACTGTTGCTGGAACTGGGCCATCAGTTAGTGGATCAACTATCTCTGTTACAGTACCACCTGTAAGTGGGACAACCATATCTGGCACGGTACCATCAGTAAGTGGAACAACTGTCTCTGTTTCAGGACCATCTGTTACAGGAACAACTATTCCTAGTGTAGGACCATCCGTAACTGGGCCATCAGTCAGTGGAACAACGGTCTCTGCTACAGTACCATCAGTTACTGGAACAACTGTCCCTGGAACTGGGCCATCAGCTAGTGGATCAACTATCTCTGTTACAGTACCACCTGTAAGTGGTACAACCATATCTGGCACAATACCATCAGTAAGTGGAACAACTGTCTCTGTTTCAGGGCCATCTGTTACAGGAACAACTATTCCTAGTGCAGGAACATCTGTAACTGGGCCATCAGTCAGTGGAACAACGGTCTCTGCTATAGTACCATCAGTTACTGGAACAACTGTCCCTGGAACTGGGCCTTCAGCTAGTGGATCAACTATCTCTGTTACAATACCACCTGTAAGTGGGACAACCATATCTGGCACAGTACCATCAGTAAGTGGAACAACTGTCTCTGTTTCAGGACCATCTGTTACAGGAACAACTATTCCTAGTGTAGGACCATCCGTAACTGGGCCATCAGTCAGTGGAACAACGGTCTCTGCTACAGTACCATCAGTTACTGGAACAACTGTTGCTGGAACTGGGCCATCAGTTAGTGGATCAACTATCTCTGTTACAGTACCACCTGTAAGTGGTACAACCATATCTGGCACAGTACCATCAGTAAGTGGAACAACTGTCTCTGTTTCAGGACCATCTGTTACAGGAACAACTATTCCTAGTGTAGGAACATCCGTACCTGGGCCATCAGTCAGTGGAACAACGGTCTCTGCTACAGTACCATCAGTTACTGGAACAACTGTCCCTGGAACTGGGCCATCAGCTAGTGGATCAACTATCTCTGTTACAATACCACCTGTAAGTGGGACAACCATATCTGGCACAGTACCATCAGTAAGTGGAACAACTGTCTCTGTTTCAGGGCCATCTGTTACAGGAACAACTATTCCTAGTGTAGGAACATCTGTAACTGGGCCATCAGTCAGTGGAACAACGGTCTCTGCTATAGTACCATCAGTTACTGGAACAACTGTCCCTGGAACTGGGCCATCAGCTAGTGGATCAACTATCTCTGTTACAATACCACCTGTAAGTGGGACAACCATATCTGGCACAGTACCATCAGTAAGTGGAACAACTGTTTCTGTTTCAGGACAATCTGTTACAGGAACAACTATTCCTAGTGTAGGACCATCCGTAACTGGAACAACTGTCCCCGGTACTGGGTCATCAGTCAGTGGAACAACGGTCTCTGCTACAGTACCATCAGTAAGTGGAACAACTGTCCCTGGAACTGGGCCATCAGCTAGTGGATCAACAATCTCTGTTACAGTACCACCTGTAAGTGGGACAACCATATCTGGCACAGTACCATCAGTAAGTGGAACAACTGTCTCTGTTTCAGGACCATCTGTTACAGGAACAACTATTCCTAGTGTAGGACCATCCGTAACTGGAACAACTGTCCCCGGTACTGGGTCATCAGTCAGTGGAACAACGGTCTCTGCTACAGTACCATCAGTTACTGGAACAACTCTCCCTGGAACTGGGCCATCAGCTAGTGGATCAACTATCTCTGTTACATTACCAGCTGTAAGTGGGACAACTATATCTGGCACATTACCATCAGTAAGTGGAACAACTGTCTCTGTTTCTGGAACAACTATTCCTAGTGTAGGACCAACTGTCTCTGGTACTGGGCCATCAGCAAGTGGAACAACGGTGTATGTTACAGGACCATCAATAACGGTATCAACTACTCAAAAGGGTGCTGCAGGCGGAACATCACCACCAAGAATATCATTTGGAACTTCAACTATTACTGGAACAGCTGTCACTAGTATGGTACCATCAGTAAGTGGAACAACTGTCCCTGGTACAGGACCATCCGTAACTGGAACAACTGTATCTAGTATAGGACCATCTTCAACTGGAACAACTGTCTCTGGTATTAGACGTTATGTGTTTTGAAACGTTTTTTATTTTATCATTGCAATCGTTTTTGTAAAGATCAACTTATCGATGATATTTGTCATTTTGGAAGACGGGAGGGAAAAAATGTATACGTAACAGGGATATTTTTAAATTTAGGCATTTTGTAAAATGTCTGAAAATTTTGTCAGATTCGGGCATTTTATATCTTGACTATTTTTAAGGCATTTTACAAAACGCCTTGAAAATTTTATTTGCAATTTACAAAACGGCTGAAAATATTTTATAGATATAAATGTTAACAAAGAGTTATTTTTAACTTTGATAATTGATTTGATAAGATTTAAAATAATTAAAAATATTTTCTACTGAACTATTTAAAATTCTCACAAGTATTGAACTCTACAATTATTTGTGATTTAATGAAATGTTTGGATGGCAGAATTTTGTTACACTTTTGTTCAGATTTTTTTGAAAGTACAAGTCTAGTAATTTACAACCACATTTGGTGACATATTCAGCTCTTCCGATACTTTTTCTGAAGAGCATTAACAGGGTATAGCAGATCCTTGTATGTGGTATGATTCATGCATAGAAGAAGACGCTTACCCTGCGACGTACACAATCTCACTTCTTATAGAGTTCATGCGATTTTCTAAGGTTTTTGTTCGTTACCTTGATTTTTCATTTCTTTATCGATTACTGAGATTTTAACATCGGTAAACTACAGACACCAGTGAAGATGCAGATACTAATATCGTTGCTTCACAACCATACACAATATATATAATTGTTCTGATCCTAGATATGCATGAAATATTTGCTACCGACCGCACACAAAAAACAACCAGACTGTAAAAATACCCTTCTTTTTCTCTGCTTTATATTACACACTTATGTTTTAAATCTAGATTTTCTACAAATTATCTTAATTTCAACAGGCAATTTGATGAATTTTATTTCAAAATTTCAGTCATTTTATAAAATGACTAGGTATTTTAGTCATTTTATTTAATGCCTGTCAAGGTTAGGCATTTTATAAAATTGCCTGAAAATTCGGTCACCAAAATTTCGAAAATGCCTGCAACATAATATAAAGATTTACAATACACTCTCGTATATCCTAAACATCATAACTTTTTTCTGATATTTCACTGCAGTTCAAAGAATGACTCTATACCAACTTAACTATTACTTGAAGGAAGAATCAGTTGACCTGCGACCAATTATTTTTTTCTCTCACAAAGTGCTTTTGTATATAGATTTTCGAGGATTTTGCGACGTAGATATAATGCATGAAATTATAGAATCAATGACAGTTTATTTGTTTTTATTACTTTTTATATTGTGATTGCGACTCTTCGGTATTTTAAAAGCAAACATGAATAGTCTTCAATAACCTTGTCCTGGGGTTAAATGTCGATATGGAACAAGCTATAATGTAATTCATATGGTTTGATCCCCACTTCTAAAAGTTAAAGCAATGTTCAACAATAAAGAAAAAAAAGAATGAAAATATTTTTCAGATTTATTCATGATCGTCTAATTTATTTTTGAGTATATGAATATTTTAGGTACAAACGATAATTAAGAGTCCTATCGTTAAAACTTCCGGCTCTTTCATGACGGGTCACGGTTTATGAAAGAAAATATAAAAAAGAAGGCATTCGAAGCTTTTTTAAATGACTTTATTTCATTATTGTTTATACAGCATTGTGATCACCTTTTTTACAAGCAATTGCTGTGTGAGTGCTTAGTCTTTGTTATTTGATAAGAACATGTTTGAATCTTATTTTCCTAATTTACATGCTTTACTAGGTGTGTTTATTCACTTGATAAATCCTGAGCGCGATTAGAGGAAAAACCTTGACTGTTCTCGAAAAACCCGAACAAAAAAACAATGATTTATTCCCGTAGAGTACGTTTTGATTGTATTACAAGTATGTTAGTAAATTGTCCGTACGTATAAGGATAGATATATTTTATAAATGCATTTCCTTTGCGTTTTGCATTCGTATTTGCATAAGAGGGATTATATTCATTGTTTTGAAATAAATCATTTTCATTCTATATTTGACTTTAACGAGGGTCTTGATAGGGATTACAGAAAAGATAATAATGGTCAAAAGTGCAGAATAAAGCGCCAAAAAAATACAAAATAGAGCAAAATAAGCATCAAAAAAATAAAAGAATAGAGAACGATAGTGTGTTAAAATATAAAAAATAGAGAATGATGGACAAAAAATATCTGAAAGAAAAGAGAAAAATGTCCAAAAAAAAAAAAAAGGATTATAGAATGGTAGGGACCCCCACCCATTCTTTTATAACTCAAAATAATTGATGGTTATCAATAAATTTTTATCCATGTCTTACCAGAAAAGGAACTCTGTTTACCAATATTTGAAATCTTATTCACTGGAAAAACATAGACACTTTACCTACTTCACACTTGAAAAGAACAGGATATCTTACCTGCTGTAACCATAAAAAAAAAAACGATAATGTTGTTGTTTTTTGACAAAACTCTGCATGCACTCTTTTTCCTGCTAATATTTGAGCATAAGATTTATAATACTTCAAAATTTCGTCTTTCTAATCGCTAAAATTTGAACATAAGATTTATAATACTTCAAAATTTCGTCTTTCTAATCACATGCTTAAAAAATATAGAAGTAGAAAGATTAAACAATTATTTGAGAAAATTTTCAATAGTACTCAGACAAGTATAGCTAACTAAGTGCAGATATTCTGAATCTTGTTATTAACTTCCGTTTGATCAAAATTGAAACGTGATCAAGTTTATAAACATATTTGATATAATGTTCATAATGAAATGTTTTCTTCTTCGCAGAAATCTGTGAACATACAGAAAAAATTGACGTACATAGTCCCTATGTTGATGTATTTTCATCTGACTCTGCACCTGGAAGTAATCCAGAAAATGGGTTGCTCGGATCAGGATTATCCTGGATACCTAATTCTCCAGATAGTACCATTTCATTCAGCATCAAGAGTGTCAATGATACAGCTGAATTCCATAATTTGGTTTTCAAAGTGAAGAATGCTGAGAAGGTGCTTGTTAGTTTATTCGATGCTGATGGTTTAAATATCACGTCCGAAATGGTATGTACAGTATTAAAAGTCTAAAAGTTCTTCTGTACGTTTATCAACAATAAAATTATCTTTATTGAGAGTTTTATCATTCTAATAGCATATAGGGTGAATTTGACAAAAAACAATCAGAGCATACCCTACACATGCCCATCTATTATCATTTTCTACTATAGATTTTTTTTTTTTTTACTATTTTAGATTATTTTTTTTACTATTTTAGATTATTTTCCTTTATCTAACGTGTTTATGCTCACATCAACACAATTTTATCGAAGAAGCAGTTCGTACGTACAGCCCCTCTACTCATATTTTCGTCTATGATAAAAGTGTGTTTGTATGACCAGAAACTCGTTAAATAAATAAAACAAGCTGAAATAATAACATCTTTTCAGAAAAATCTGTAACACAGGAGATCACGAGGTACTGTGCACACAGCTCGCAAAACGATACCCTTTTACAGCTTACAGGCCATGATTTGGGGATAGCCCAAAATTTTCTAATAAAAAGCAAAATAGAAGGTGAACAATGACATTATATGATTAAGACTCTGTGAAGTGAGAACTTTCCATTAGATTCTGAGTGGTGGTTTAGGAGGAACTGGAAAGCGGATACACAGGAATTCTTTTATCAGTTTTCCGGTTTGTGCAGCTCTGTCCATTTATTGGCATCAATTTCTACCACGTCTTTTGCATAATCAAAGGTTCAGTTTGGCAAAAGAGAAACTAGAGTAATAGGAAATAGGAAATATAAACTAAGTGTAATAATAAAGTAATGTATGATGAAATGCGACATATTCACGGCATTTATTATTATAATATTTCCAGGCTGAAACATGGCATTGTATTGTAGATAAATGTATATATATATAACAGAATAGCGTTCCAATGTCCCTTACCCCTCCCCATCCCTTGCGTTGCATATATGTGATCTGCCCAGCGGATATAACAAACAAAAATGTGTTTGAGAACGCGCTTGCAATGTATTTTTCTACAGAATTTACATTGCTAAGGGATATAACCTCCTGTAAAAATAATTGATCTCGTCCAAGACATTGCCGCTGATATAAACCTTCTATATAATTTTCATTACAAGAAATGTAGGCTCACAATACAATTTTCCGTTTAATCTTCCAAGGAGCATTACTCTGTACAAATAATTGTTTATCACTGACAGTATTGTTGCAGAAATCTTGAGAACTCTATAATATTCACTGTTTGTACATTATCTGTCAGTTATAGAGGATCCGATAATTATATATAATTCCTGGTTGGTTGTTGTCTTGGAACTATATAAATAGTGGTTGAAATTTCATTATTGGTGTATTTGTATATATATCTTGCTTCTTAAAGGTCAACGTAACAAGTGAAGATGTTGGTACAGAAATAAGTCAGGACTTCGATGGGATGCCTGGAGATACAATTGTCTTGAGAATATATCAAAAACCAAATACAACCAGTGATGTAGAATTGTATGATCTATCTGTGGAAACCTGTTTAAAACCAGGTAAACTTTAGTGTCTTAAATGGGGTTGGTGTTAATTGATAACAGTAGTTATAATAAGGATTCCTGATTTTACATTCTTACACCAAGCTATGTTTCCATTGTAACTATCAGTAACAAGATCGTATAGGGTAACAAGCTTCGCCCAATAATTAATACTTGGTGATTTGTTAAAAATATCCAGTGGGTAACGACCAAGTCCCCCCTCATATATTATGAAGTCATGTGTGGATTTGTTTTATTAATTTTCCACCTTTTTCCATACTTTGGTAATAAATGGACTTGGTATTATTTAACATCTACATTAAGGTCTGCAGTTAAAGATTTTAAAACTTGAAAAACTTTCAATGAAATTAGATAGAAGCTTCTAAACAAGAGATTACATCCTGAGCAAGTTTTTAATTTTTTCGTCTGCATTTTTCTGTGCTTTACTAATATTTTTGGCAGTCAACATTACACTTTTACACAGATATCAATATAGTCACAAGCAAGATACAACATGGTTCAATGGAACCCTTTAGGCTGTTTTAGTGTATTTTATTGAACTTTTGTCCAAGTTTTCTCATTCATGTAACAGTGGCAGTCATGTTTGTAGTCAGTTGGGGGTCATCAGTCAAAATTATGAAAGGGCATGTATCATTTATCAGTAAGGTAGGTCTCAGTTTGACCATCCATGACAGGATTATACAGCCGGTTTCTTTTATAGTTTTTGTTTGGTAAATTAGTATTCTTAAAGAGGATGCTAAATTTAGTATTTAAGTTTGGCATCTTTATTGACCATAAAGGATTTTTTTCTCGGAAATCTTAATATAATTGTAACTTGCATGTAAGCCCTTATTTCAACCTGATACTGACGGACGGAATTAATATGGATGAACTCACAGACACAGGCACTTGTCTCTGATATTTTAAAGTATATACGTATGATTACTCAGAGACAAGTACGTGCTTGTGCTCACAGACCAGGACAACAATACATCATCCTAGATGGTCTGAACGGGGTTTACAGATAGAAAATAATAGGCTAAAAGTATAAAGAATAAAGAAAAATAAGGCAAAAAAATACAAAGAGTAGGAATAATGGGATGCTATTGAAAATATAAAGAAAAGAGAATAATGCACAAAAAAATATTTTAGTTAATTTTTTATTTTGTACAGCGTTCCTATTATCAACAATATCACCTGTGACAAGTGTTACTGGTACCTCAATATCAACTGAAATTGGTGCTGCTCCTCCGATATTTACACTGCCCTTTATTACCACACAACCTGCTTCAACAGTAACTACACCATCGTCAATAACAGGTATATAGTATTTCTTTATTCTTTACAAAATAAACTTTATATCTAAAATTTTTTTGTGGAATTATACAGCAACTCCACCACGCAATACAAGATATCTAAATGTCTACAATAGACAATAGTCTATTAATAAACATGATAAAGTTATGATATGAGTGTTTCTAATGATATTGGTTTTTGTTTTGCCTATACATTCACATAGTGATTTGGGTCATAATATATACACAAATACTAATGATTGATATTTTATCCAAAGCCAGTCCAACATTGATGTATCACTGTGTTCTAGTTAGAGAAAAGATTCATTACCTATGTCAAGTCAGCATAACATATACATGTTGACAACTATGTTTTGAGAAATTACTACTTATACATGTATGTATGTATATATGTTAAGTCGTCAGTCAAATAGGTTGACAGCTAAATTGGCACTGGAGCCATTACCTCCAATATGTATATATTTAGTCATCGACATTTGTTGAAAACTATGTTTGGTCATTTCAGTTCCAGCTCCATTATGTGTATTCAGTCAGCAGGCATTTATTGACAACTTTGGATATGCACAAATCAGTTTGATCGGTTATGTGGAGAAAGATGGTCAGCCTGGACTTACCAGTGATAATGAAAAGATTTATGTAAATGATACAATAGAAGCAGGAGTCACTGTCTTTGTTGGTTGTAGTAACTGGTTAGTATAAAATTAAACTATTATGTCCTGTCTTTATGTCCATAGTAACTTATAAGTTAGTCAAAGACAAAAAGAACAGCTGTCTTTGCTTGGAGTAACTGATGCTGGATGGGTGTGGAACAGAAAAAAATATGGCTTGGTTTTACAATTTGAGAGAAATAAATATATGAATGCCAATTACAAAAATACAAAATAAAATTGGTGCATCTTTTTACAATTTAAACAACTATACACAAAACTTTGCCAAATTTCAAAAGTTATTTAGTATTCTGTCAGCAGTCAATTTGGTTACTTTAAATTATAAAGTTTGATATTATTACTGATACATTTTGATATTTGAAATTTTGTTGTTGAAATTACATGTTTCTTTTTTGTTGTATTATAGCACTTGTGAAAGCAATGGTAACATCCTTTGTCAGATTGGAACTTGTGAAAGTATGTATACTTCTTTTACAATCAGTTTTATCAGCTAGTGAAATATTACAAATTAATTATGTTTTTCTGTGTAGTGCGGAAGTTTCCTGTATTTCGTTGCACAATGGTCCATCATGATTAAAGACCTTTATATAGTATATGAAAGTCCTATAATTTAGGCTTCCAAATATTTTCGCATTCATTGAAAATGATGTCAGTAATGTTGATAAATTCATGAAGATTTTTGACATTTTTAGAATTTTGAAATAATGATGTTATTAAATATATTAGGATGTAAACACTTTGTGTTCAGTTGGCTTTTTTATCTTTTGTTGCGATATATAAACTTTAAGTAGACAAAATTACCACTGCAGTATCTGCATTATACTGATGAATTTAAGGAAATATACACAGGTAAAGCTTTCTTGAAGAATTAATTTTTTATGGTTCTTCATGTTTGGTTTCACTTGGTAATTTTATCACTCAGGATTCTTTTTATTATTTTTATATCAATTTGAGTGGTTTTAGGAAAAATTAGATATACAGATTTTGTGGTGTTTACAGATTCAGCATAGAAAATTTGTATGTCGTTAAACACTTAAAATTTGTGGTTACCTTTTACAGTAACATGAGATCCACAAAAGTTAGTTCCCATCAATGATAATGAATCCGTCATAATATTGCAATACATATACGGATTAAATAAATATATTGGTTTGACAGAGCTGGGCATACCAACCTCCAACCTCAGACAACACTTGGTCAAGATTATAGCCAAATGAGGTGAAATTAAACCACTTTGCCTATTGACGCCTTTACTGTTTTAGATTTATTAAAAATACTGACATGTTTTTTTTGTACTTTCTTATATTAGTCTTCTTTCATACATGAAATCCTCCATTCTGGAGAAATCAATCATATCCAGTGATCATGAATTGTTATACTATTTGCAGCATGAAGCTGTCATAATCCCTAGATTTAATGTATCCACCTGAAATGATCTTCTTGCTCTGTAGATTGTTCCTATGCTGATTGGAGTGCATGGACTGATTGTACTAAACCATGTGATAATGGACAACAAACCAGGGAAAGGTTACTTCTCACTGTTACCAATCCAAACATATGTACAGCTCCTGTCAAGGACACACAGGATTGTAATACCTTACCATGCCCAACAACAGGTGAATATACAGGAAACCAGTTCACATTTGATGTTTGTTTATAGTATTTATCCACTTACAAATTTATTCCTTATAAATTTCAGAGATAAAAAAAAAAGTTTTTTGCAATAGCGATTTGTTGGTTTCTTAACAGTTTGCTTAACACATTGGTTTTCACTCATTCTTTCAATTATTTTATGTTTTTTTTTTCTGCCACTGATACTAAAACATATTAAGTGAGAGCCTCTAATAGATATCTGGATAAATTGTACAACCATGTATGGTGTTGACATATCCATAGTTGAACATTTTATATAGTTTTATCCTGCAATTGACCTTTCTACTATACAAATACAGGTTGACTGTAGATAAAATTAAGCAATGAATATATATAGTGGTATGTTTATAATCTCCTGGTATCTTGCTTCTGATGCTAGCAAATTGTTATGTTCATCAAATTACTGTTTACATAACAGTTCAATTTCAGGTCCTCGATCATTGCAGTCCGCGTTTTAGTCATGTCTATTTCATTCAAAACAAATTCAACAATTTGAATGGAAAACAAATATGCGTTTACGTTTAATGTTAAATAACAGCCTGGCTTTTCTCTCTGATTCTAAAGCTTGTCAAATAAATTTGAACTTTTCCTACATTGTAAGAATATTGTATATATAACAAACTGTTTATAAGGAAATGTACATTTTAATCCACTACTTGATCTTAAACTTTGAACAATTTGTGCAGCGTTGGTATCATGCATGTACATGTTAATTACATGTTTTAAACATTTTCAGTGAATTTACATGACTCAGTTAGTCCAAATTTGTTTTCCCTCCTTTCAATACACAATCTGCACATATATCAGATACAATGTATATTCTGTTTTTAATCTTACTTTAAATTGAACATTTTTTCAGTAACAACACCAGTTTGTAGTGCATGGGGAGAATGGTCTACCTGTTTGGCTCCAACAAACTGTACTGAAGGTACAAGAACTCGTGTGAAGACTTGTTCAAGTGGACCAGAGTTTGAATCAGAACCTTGCATTTCAGACTGTACATCTAGTAAGTTAATATTAATGCATATGGTAATTCATTGGTTTATAGTGTGTTTTAATGAATATGGTAATTCATTGGTTTATAATATGTTTTAATTAATAGGGTGATTCATTGGTTTAAAATGTGTTTTAATGAATAAGGTAATTCATTGGTGTATATGAATAAGGTAATTCAATGGTTTATAATGTGTTTTTATGAATAGGATAATTCATTGGTTTATAATATGTTTTAATTAATAGGGTAATTCATTGGTTTATAATGTATTTTAATGAATAAGGTAATTCATTGGTTTATATGAATAAGATAATTCAATGGGTTATAATGTGTTTTTATGAATAGGATAATTCATTGGTTTATAATGTGTTTTTATGAATAGGGTAATTCATTGGTTTATAATGTGTTTTTATGAATAGGGTAATTCATTGGTTTATAATGTGTTTTCAACTCAGCTCACTGACAAATATTTCACAAAGTGCTTCAGACTTAATTTATACAGTTTTAATCTAATTAGAATTAGTTCTCTGCACTTGCTCCTCATTTTCGTTCGGTTGTTTATATGTTGCGCATTAATAAGATTGATTCAGTTTGTGACTTGGCAAAGTTTACAAATGAATACTTTCCAGAACAATTCTTGAATTTTGATGGTTACTTTGTAGGATTAAATATTGTCCGCCATGAAATTATGTCCACCGGACACTTTTTGACAGTAAATGTTGTCCACAGACATGATGTTATTATGAAATATCGTCTATGAAATCGTGTCCACAGATGGGAAAAAGTGTCTTTCATAGAAAGGACGGCATTTCTCGCGAAAAAGTGTCCACTCTCAATACCTACAAAATGCATACATAGCTTCAACTAAAGTTTACTTGCACTTCCTGTTGAGCTTTTCTGGTATAAAATATCAAAATTATAGATAAGGTAGATCGACTTTTTGTCAATTTATTGTTAATCTGTGAATATTTTGTTAAATAGGAGAATGTCGTGCCATAGATAACTAAATAAGAGCTTGTTTCGTTTATTACTCGGACCAATTTAATTTAAAATGGCATCGGAATCACTTTTTCCCCGCAGGTTAGTGCGGCCAGCTCAGAGAGTTTTTGACAAAATGACAGTGAGTTCACCAAAAAGCTAACGTATTTATCAGTATATAAGTGTTTTTCTTACGCATTATAAACGTATAATTACAGTTTTTCCTGTTTCTTTACGAATATGATTTTATTAAGCTGAATAAGTTATAAGTTATGTAAGGTTGAGATCGTCTGGTATAGGTTGTGATATTCTGGAACAATGTTGAGAGCTTCTGTAGAATAAAACTTTCAACTAGCAAATTGTCAATCTGATACGACCGTCAAAATTCACGAACCTTCTGTAAATTTGTTGTCATTTTAACTTGTTATTAGTTTTGTATGATCGAACCCTGTTGGTCTAACACAGATACTAAAGAGTAGTGATTTTTAAAGTCTAGAAAACGAGATGGAAAGTCTAGCGCTGAGTAAATATTTTTAGTATATACCTAAAGATGTAATGTCCAGTGCTGGAGAAGTAAAGTCTAGTGCACAAGATGAAAAGTGTGGCGCTCAAAATGTGAATTAGAAAAACAAAGGATATTGGGTATCTATCCATGACGCAAAATCCGTACATGCACAGCAAAAACACAAAAAAGCAAAGGAACGAGGCAAAACAACTCTCTCCTCACAGGCAAGATTAAGACGACCCCTAGCACCGGCTTGAGCGGTATTCTTTGCAAAAATAATTCGGATAGACTTTGTAAGATGTTTCACCACCTAATTCAGCCTGGTCAAAAAGAACATACTGGAAAGTAGTCCATATTTAAAAACAATATGTAAATATCCAACTATGTAGAATATATCAAATGAAAGGTAAAGGACTTGAGATCCTGGTTGTAGAACACATTTTTACTGATAATTTTGAATAATACAAAAATGTACAAATACATTCTTAAAATTGAGGGGCGTATATTGCCTGTTTCTCAGATATGAAGTATCTTGTTTGTTGTATCCAAAGTTCCAAAATAACGGTATATTGATCTCGCCTCCCCCCATAAATGTTTGAAAGTGAAAACATTAACGTGAATATGATTTCGGACCAAGAATAGTGCATGGTGTGCGTCGTATTATAATTTTTGTACACACACTGGCCTAAAATAGAGAGAATGATGTGGCATACATAAGAGAAGTTAAAAGTCTAGCACTATATATATATCAATTTGAGCGCGGTAGACATAAGGTGGTAATACACAGTTAGGAGTTTGGTTTAGCATTTTGGCCCTTGTTAATGTTTTCAACTATGAAAGTTATTGTGCTATACGATTGACTATTAGATAGCTGAAAAATAATAAAACCTTCGAAGGGGATCTATATGAACATCAAGATTGTGTTTTGCATGTTTATATGCCATTTTCTGTTTAACAGTCAGTTTTTCACATTAGTTCCGGTTATATGTCCATACATTATTGAAGTGTTTTCCGATAAACTTTTTGCGCTCGAACTTTTCAATCCAATTTTATCGAAAAATGAGGTAAAATGCATATGTTTTTATTTGACATCTTGATACATAAATATCAATGGTTTCAGAAATGGTATCACTCAAATGGATTGAAATGTTAATTTGGACCAAATTTTGGGGACATTTGTGACATTTTCATCCCTTTTGGCAATACTTTGTATCAAATAAATGCAGATTGTTGCAATGGTTACTCCAAAAAGAGATTACATTTCACCATTTTAACCTATTGAAGATGCTGTTTTCATACACATGCATATACATGACATTAACAGTAAGCTTTATTAGTTAGAAAGAAAGGTAGTGGTTAAAAATTATATGAGTTTTCCCCTAACTGTGTATTGTTACATAAAGTCAAGCGCTGGGTATGTAAGGTCCAGCGCCAAAGAAGTATAGTTTAGCGCTGGAGAAGCAAAGTCAAGCGATGGAGATGTGCCTAGCTCTGTAGTTCTAAAGTCCAGTCATGAAGATGTAAAACCCAGCGATGTAGTCCAGCGGACAGTAATAGTGGACGACTTCTCCAGCGGTGGAACTTTGCTTCTACAGCTCTGAAAGTATAGATCTTTAGTTCTTGACTTTACATCACCTGCGCCGGACTCACTTTATACGTATGTAGCTTGACTTTATATCGACAGCGATGGGCTTTATATCTTCTGCATTAGATTTTACATGTCCAGCGCTGGAGTTAAAATTTTAAGCGCTAGACTTCCCATTTGAAAACCACTATACGAAAATATTATGAATTTTGGTCGAATCCAACACTTCGATAGTTGAAAGTTTTATTTGACAGACGATCTCAACTTTGGTCCATAATATCACAACCGATGCCAGACAATCTCAATCCGACATACTTTTTAACTTATTCAGCTTAATAAAATCATATTCGTAAAGAAACATGTTATTAAAAGTTTCTATTGATTAAGAAAAACACTTATATACTGATAAATACGTTAGCTTTATTGATGAACTCACTGTCATTTTGTCAAAAACTCTCTGAGCTGGCCGCACTAACCTGCGGGGAAAAAGTGATTCCGATGTCATTTGAAATTATATTGATCCGAGTAATAAACGAGACAAGCTCTTATTTAGTTATCTATGACATGACATTCTCCTATTTAACAAAATATTCACAGATTAACAATAAATTGACGAAAAGTCAACCTACCCTATCTATATTTTTGATATTTTATACCAGAAAAGCTCAACAGGAAGTGCCAGTAAACCTTTTTTTTATCGCTAAACCATTTGGTTAAGATTAGATGGTTTCCAGGCGTGGCTTCAGTTCTTTATCTAAATTAAAGTTTTAAAATTAGCATGGGGGATTTGTCTCTACTAAAACATGGCATATAAACTGGAGTACTGAATTCATAGAAAATGTGATCATCACCATGTGTAATTAAACATAAATGATACAATAAAACAATACTCTCTCTTTTGTTTTTTTTTTATCAATAGTTGTAAAGTACAGTTCATCATTTTTTTATTTTATAGTTGGATGCTTTAAGTCTTCTGATAGTTCTTTTTCTCATTGTCAGTTGAGGCTGGTGGATACTTTTTGTCGACATCTTTATAGCTTAGATAATTGAAAATGCTTTGGAATTCAACACCCTACAATTTTTGTTTATATCAAATTATAACTTGGTTCTTAATTGGTTTGTTTTTGTAATAGAAAATTAAATATATCTAAAACAATTCAGTGACTTTTTTATTATCTGCATTTAAATGACACTTTTTTACTGTGAAAAAGTGTCCTCTTATTGAAAATCAACCTTTACAGGACAGAATTTAATAGTTTTTATCATGAAATTATGTCTAATTGAATGAACACTTTTTCACAGCATCGGACACATTTAAATATACCTCTTCTGTGAAAAAGTGTCCGGGGTGACACTATTTCACAGGACACTTTTATGGCTCACAACTTAAGGGTCATATTGCCCAATATTCTCTGTATGTATATTTGTCATATGCAAAAATTTCAGAATTTGGTAATAATATTATATGAAATCAGATTAATTATGATGTTACTGATAAAATGAAAAATCCCAGTTTTGAAGTTCTTGACTAAATACATTGAATCTAATATCAAGTAACTGAAGATAATTATGCTTATACTGTCTAACATACTTTATATATCATGTGGTTTACTCTCAAGGCTTTAGGTAGCTATTTGAATATCAACATCATGAGGAAATGGCCATTTTTTTTCCTAGTTTGAGATGTCAACATGCTCACAGCGATCTAGCTGTTTCAGAAATCATACAATTTCCTTGTATTTACATATCACTGTCTCTTTGATATACTATAAACCAACTTATGTTCACAAGCAAATCTCGATTTTCTCGAATAGAATGTAAAGTGAATTTCAATTGTCGCAAATAATGAAACTTGGATCTTGCCTTATGTAAATATATCAAGAAAATCAGCAGATCCCGGAAACAAATCTTTAGTTGGCTAGAAAGAACTTAACATGAAATTAAGTTGGTTTACAGTAGTGAAGTCAATTTTCGGATCAGTGCCCATTGTGGGACTGGTCAATTTTCTCAAATCTTAGACTATATAAAGAGTGATTTGAAATAAGTAAACAACTTATCGAATTCCTGCTTTGTTCTTTAAGCACCAGCTTGTGTTGCACCGTATGTTTTACTGAACTGTTCACACTGTCCATCAACCTGTCGTGACTACAGACTACCTGAAACATGTACAGAGCCGGACTACTGTGAACCAGGATGTGGTTGCCCAGAGGGATTTGTGCAGTACAATGATAACTGTATTCCTGCCATAGATTGTCCCTGTTATAATGATGCTGGTGATGTTGTGGCAGAAGGATTCACTTACCTTAAAGCTAAATGTGAACAGTGGTAGGTTTTTTTCAGACAATAATCATATTATGTATTTGAGTCAGAATGAAGATTTAGTAGGTATGTAAATATTTTTTTTTATCTTTGAAGCATGCTTTGACTGCATAAAAAAAATTAATGAACTAGGTAACGACCATGGAGGGGGTTATGGTTTTTTCCTAAAAAAAATATTCTGATCCCCAATTTGATGAAAAAAAAATATTGTGGTCAAGCAGATGACAAAAAAAAATATTCGGAATCCAGACATTCCCCACACCTTATAGTGGTAAATTTTGAAAAAAATAATTCAATTGATAGCGTATAATATATAATCCCTCCTTGAAGTTATATGGTTGCTCTCTTAACAAAAATAATTATATTGTCAAAGATAAGACTGAAAAATATTCAGTAAAAATAGGCAAAAATCTGGGGTTAAAATATTAACATTATGAAGTTTGCTAGAATAAGAACATTTCCTCTATACAAAGTGAACAAGAAACAAGAAAATTGGGAAAGCAATGACACAATTTGTTTATATCTGTTTAATCTTTGTTGAAAAAGTAGAATATTGCACAGAAGTACAATGTTATATTAAGTTACATCACAGATTTCTGTTTTTGGGGCTTTTCTGGAACACTTATCAGAGTTCGAATACGAAACCAAATTGTCTTTTTATTTCTGCCAAAAATTGCAGCTTTAGAAAATTTGTTAGTTGTCTGAAGGCATTTTTTCTCTTAAACATGCACAGTAACATGCCTTTTGTGATTTTTCAAAGAACTCATCTTAAATTGCCCCCAATTTATCTAAAATTCATAAAAATAACAAATACAAAGCGGAATTGTATTGACTCTCCCTAACCAAACTGAAATTTAAATTACACATCAGGTTAATAAATATATATGGTGGTTATTTGAAATAATCAAGCTTTTTCCAGAAAAGTCTAATATAGTGAGAGTATTGTGTTAACCCTGAGGGTGTTTTGTACGGACTGACAATCTGTTCATTGTATAATAACAAATGATATAGTTCAAATGAATAATCCACAGAAACTTTTAATTTATTATCTGACCTTGTTATCATTGTTTCTTTCTAGCCAATGTACCAGTAATGGAACTTTCCACTGCTACAAAATAGCTGACTGTAAGTTGGATTTATTGTTGGATTTGGTATTTTCATTAGCATAATAATCAGTACTTTGTCCATCTGTCCAGAACAAAGGGTTTCGGGATACTTAAGACGGCTTCAACTAATATTTGATACCTAAACAAAAATCAAAAAATCTATTGACCTTTGAATTTTACAATAGTATGGCTACTTCTGTTTAAAAGTTTAACATTTAAAAAATTTACTAATATATAAATCTATGAAGAGTTCGAAAATAATTTTCAATATGGGACTTTTCTGTTAGGATTTCTACTTTTGAGTCTATATTCAGAGTGTTTATTTGTTGTGTGTGAATTTGATACTTCATTATAGTGATAAAGCAGAGGCGAATTTAGGGGGCCCGGGCCCACCCCCCCCCCCCCCCCCTTTTGTGGGAAAAATTTGGTTGATTATATAGGGAATCACTGAAGCATGACTGGAGCGGGCCCCCTCTTATGAAAAATTTCTGGATCCGCCACTGTAAAGAACTTTTAATTTTCAGGTTGTGATTGGTCCGACTGGGGTCCATGGGGAGAATGTAGTGATACATGTGAAACAGGAATACATAGTAGATACAGGTAAGACAATGTAGTGGTTCATGTGAAACAGGAGTTTATTGTAGATACAGTTAAGACAATGTAGTGATAAAGATGAAACAGGAGTACATAGTAGATACAGGTAAGACAATGTAGTGATACATGTGAAACAAGAGTACATAGTAGATACAGTTAAGACAATGTAGTGATACATGTGAAACAAGATTACATAGTAGATACAGTTAAGACAATGTAGTGATACATGTGAAACAAGAGTACATAGTAGATACAGGTAAGACAATGTAGTGATACATGTGAAACAGGAGTACATTGTAGATACAGTTTAGACAATGTAGTGGTACATGTGAAACAGGAGTACATTGTAGATACAGGTAAGACAATGTAGTGGTACATGTGAAACAGGAGTACATAGTAGATACAGTCAAGACAATGTAGTGATACATGTGAAACAGGAGTACATAGTAGATACAGGTAAGACAATCATGGTTAACAAAATAAAAATAAGGAGATATGCCAATGAGACAACTATCCACCAGAGTTCAAATGAAGTGGATGTAAGCAATTACAGGCAACTTTACGGCCTTTAACAATGAGAAATTTCCATATCTATAGTATGCCATAAAAGGCCCCAACATGAAAAATGTTAAACAATTTAAACGAGAAAACCAACGGCCTAATTTATAACAAAACAATTGATCAGAAATAAATTTGAGAGACGTAAACCAATGAAAACCGCTGAACTACAAGCTCCTGAATTGGGACAGGTGTGTGGACGCTAAACCCTTTCCCTTATCTGGGACAATTGTGTAACAGCACAACATGAAAATAGACTCTAAAAATCAGTTGGTACCTCAAAAGATTGGTATGAAGCCAAAACAACTAACATAAAGACGATAAAAATAAAGTATCACAATAAGAGCACTAGCAGTCACTGAAAGCTAGTTCAAAGCCAGTTACAACTAATAAATAAATCATGTTCTCCCAGACGAAATATTATCAGGATTTTTCTTTTTCAACATGTGTAGATTTAATGGTAACAATGATTCTCAACTCAAACTGAAATGATGTCACAAACAAAGAGAAAAGGTTGTTAAAAATGGGAAGGGGGATAGGTTCTTTTTTAATTCTGGACATTCTACCAAATTTACTGATATTTCATGGCTATATATAAACAATGAAAGGGAAACATTTTTAACAAAAATATCAATACCTTATCAAATTCTTAGATTCAACACAAACTTTAAGTTGAAGAAGGTACTGACAAGGGCAATCACAAACTTAAAGTTGAAGAAGGCACTGACAAGGGCAACCACAAACTTGAAGTTGAAGAAGGTACTGGATCTTAGGGCAATCACAAACTTTAAGTTCAAGAAGGCACTGGACCTTAGGGCAATCACAAAATTTAAGTTCAAGAAGGTACTGGCAAGGGCAATCACAAATTTTAAGTTGAAGAAGGTACTAGCAAAAGGTAATCACAAACTTTAAGTTGAAGAAGATACTGGCAACAGCAATCACACACTTTTAGTTGAAGAAAGACTGACAACAACATGGCCACAAGTAAAAAAAGAAACAAACAGTGCACAAGTCACAACAATTTCTTTTACGTAAATCGGATTATACCTCCCCTGCATTATTACATATCATTACTAAATTCTGAGGAAGATGGTTTATCTAAAAGTTGCGATCACTGTGGCTGAGATATATTTTCTGACTTTCTGTATTGCATATTTTTGCGTAGTTGAACTTGGATCAAATAGCCTCATGACTTTAACTATTCATGTATAGCATTATTTTAAGCATTGGAATTTCATAAATATCAAAAACAAACCTATTATTTATTTTGGACCAAAAGGCAGTTGAATGATGGAAACCCTGATTCATGTGGAAGTTATTCACAAACAGAATCCTGTACTCCAATAGTGGTACCTGGAACATGTGTAGACTGTATACATGACAATAAGTTCTACTCTGTGGGTGAAATAATAAGAAGGCAGGCTGATGGCTGTGTTTTGTGGTAAGTTTAATATTTGTAGTTTAGAATGTGGGAGAAATAATCAGAAAATAAGATGGCTGTGTTGTGTTGCAAGTGTTCAACTTTTCTATCTGTTTATTGAATAAATAAAACAACAAATTCCACTCTGTATACACTCACAATATAGTTAGTTACATCATAAATTTAACACACTTTTTTATGCCCCGCTTAAGGTTGTAGGGGCCATTATGGTTTGTACGTTTGTGCTTCTGTCTGTATTGGGTTAAAGTTTTGATGTTATGTAGTTTACCATGAAGTTATGGTCACATCAACTTGAAACTTAGTACACATTAATCATGATGTGAAATGTTTAAAATGTTACTAAATTAAGGTTTTTACTTAGATTTTGTGGTTCTCTAAACATAGAAATGTGATAGTGCATGCAGAGCATGATGTTCTATGGACATATATTCCATTTTTGTTTTTCTTCCTTCAAATATACTTATTTGCTATACTTATTGTACGTTTGAAAAAAAGTACAATAGAACTATTAAAAAAAGAACTTTAAAAAATATGATCAATTGGATGTAGTCTTCTTAAAACATTTACAGATATTGTAGTGGAGTAGATATATATTTATGAAATGTGTTTTTAAATATTTACAGTTACTGTGATTCTACCCACAAGGTGTTCTGTACGAAAGATGAAGTAGCAGTTGGTAAGTCCATATTCAGTTACATTTTAAAGATCTTCAATGAGTACAACAAGAAAAAGCAGTCTCAATCAGCTACTAGTAGCTTCATTTCGTGAAAGGGTTTGAAACTGGGATAAAGTCAGAATGACTACTTTACACCATTACCCATTTATAAACACTGTCACAAGTCTGTTCATTCTACTTATGTCATCCGGAAAAATAAGTAGTAAGTCCAAGCAGATCAGTCAGTTTTTTTATTTTGTCGGTAAAAAAATGTTAAATTTATTTTTCATAAAAGTATGTCAGTAGATGAATGCATGTTGCCTGGTTCTATATAACAAGCACTAAACTATTGATATACATATTTAATTTTATTTTTCATATTCAAACTACACCATTCAACTACATGCACACCTGTAAGAAGGAAGTATGATAAGAACCATTGTATTATCAGTCCACTGATGTATTGCAAACTTTGAGATTTTTTCATCCATTCACAATTATGTTGATCTAAATGATATAAATGAACATTTTGATATAGTCTGTTGAGTTAAGTGCAGAAATGTCAATATGTGAATTCATAAACATGTAATGATTTACAAACCTGACCAAAACCGGTGATTTTACAAACATTTTTTGACTAAAGCTCACATGAGCAATAGCTTTGACTTTGACTTTCATTATCATTTTGGTACAAATGTATAAAACACCTAGTGGCAAAACATCTATTTTGGTAACACTGTTGCTCATATTAATCATATGTTAATATATAAATGGAAATTGAAAAGATTTGAATTGCAAGTGCCAAACAAATGACCTTATCAACCATTCTCCTTTGGGTATATAATATCTTAATTAATACAAAAATGTTTTTTAAGTAGGTGGTGTTATATTTTTTATCATTGCATTGCCTCGTAGGTCTCATGATTGCTGACTGGGTTGCCTCTAGTTTTTAATCAGTTGTGGGTTAAATCTCCAGCCAGGTCAAACCAAAAACATGAAAATTAGTCATTGCTGCATCTCTACTGGTGTTTAACATCCAGTGACAAATATTACATGCATATCAGGACATAATATGTTGATGTGTTATAAATATGTATATAACCTTACTTAGTACAAGACAAAAACTCTAAGCTATATTGTTAATGTCCTTGCTTACAATAAAACAGTCTACAGGAAGACAAGTCATCCTACAAATTCTTACACACATTTTTCTCACTCTGAGCCCGCAAGTTTTTGTTCCAACTCATCGATCTATCAATGATGTTGTAATAATTGAACATAGTATAAGGTTTTAAGAATTCAATATAATAATCACCAGGAATGAAACCCTTAGTTAAAACCTGTTAGCAATACAATATGAAAATACGTATGGGAAATAACTCTTGACAAACTCACTGGATTGAGAGAAAAATGAACAAAAAGAAGTTTTTACTTAAAGGGGCACTAGCTGTCAAAATCATGTTCACCGATTTGACTCAAATTTTCATATTTGATTTATAACAATGTAAAACATTTATCGAAATTATAAAAAGTCTAAAATAAACAATATACCGGGCATAGGCTTGATAATATGTAGCTTCGTTTCGTGTGTATTTTAGTCTAGACGCCATCTAATTAACTGTCGAGTTGACCTCCGATTACCTCCGATTGCCATATAAGCGATATAAACATAAATATATATATAAATAGATAGCAGACTCGTGCATTTGGATTTTTCTAGGTCTGTTTAATTTCATATTATAGATTAAAAATATATGTTTATCATCGTTTTTACCTGTATAAAAATGATTTTTTGTGGATTGAATCACTCAATCAAATGCTATACCTTTGTTTCACTTTCAATGTTGACATTCTTTTCCTTTAAATAATTGAACACGCACAATGCATGCGGTATCCATCTCTAGCTAAGGGGTTAAATTGAAGTTCACATGAATACGGATTCAATGAGGTCGAATTATTCACTTGCGAGTGAATTATTCACCATTAATGCTTCTTAGCTTATTTTGACAAAATAGAACCGTAACGGCTACTAAAAACGATATATTATTTCACTATTTCATTTTCATTAATGATTGAACAAAAAAAAATCCATATTTTATATTTTATATGTATCTCGTAGCTAGTGCCCCTTTAATAAAATCTTAACTTAAATTATGATAGAAGTTCATAATTTTTTCTATTGATTTAACATATCAGTTGTCCTGATATTTTAGTTGATGGTAACTGGTCAGGATGGTCAGAGTGGTCTTCATGCAGTAGTTCATGTGATGGAGGTAACAGACAAAGAACCAGACTTTGTAATGACCCACTTCCACTTTGTGATGGTCTCTCTTGTAATGGAACAAATGTAGAAATGGAGGACTGCAATGCAGATATATCATGTAAGTGTCAATTAATCAAAGTATCATATCTAGCACAGTCTATTCTGAATGTAAGCATCCTTTATTGAAATATGAGATAAAATAAAATTGTAATATTTGTTCTTTGTCTTCTGTTTGGCCATTTGACAACACTATCCCACTGATTTTTTGTTTATTTGCGGTATGGCATGATGGGATTGCTTTTATTTGTCTTTAATATCTCATTTTTTTATGATTTATTTGTGTGCACAAAAATTGTTCTTGAATCCTGAGGATTCGTTTATATTAGTGTTTACCAATTTTCATGGATCAAGGAAAACTTGTATTTTCATAGATATGATTTGATTTAGTGGTTTTTCCTAAAACGTTGTACATCCTTGGCTTTCAAATATTCGGCTTTGAGCGTTCCTGATGAAGGTAAATCCAGAAAAGTGCTTCAGACGCATGAAATTTATAATGTGTTGTTTTGATTTTTTATAAAACATGTATTAATATTAAAAAAGTGTGCTTCGTTGAATATTGTGGTTATCCAATACCCATGAAATCCAAAACAATTGGTATCTCGCGTAGAATAATGATTCTATAGTAAAAGTATAAACATCCTTTACATCGAATAGGAAAAAGACCGCCATTGAATTGAATATAAAAAAAACTAAATTTACAAATCATTTAAATACGTCATTGTCAGTTCAGGGGAAAAGTTTGAAACTGTTGAATTGTTAAAGTGGTCATATTACTTTGTAAGATGTCAGAGGAGGAAAATTATCCGATTAATTTCACATGTCAAATTACAGGTGTTTATTTTACTGGTAAAAATAAACAATATTTCATTGCAACTAATGTAATAAGATGTTATTATCTTTATGTTCAGGTTGTACCACATCAGACTGGAGTGACTGGTCAGATTGCTCGTCTACTTGTGGCCCAGGTGAACAAGCTAAGATACGTACCTTTGTCAACCTAGATGATCAAAATGCCTGTCCAAGCATCAACACAACTGAGATAAGGTCATGTCAAATACAAGATTGTAAGTTTATAGAAATTAGAATACTAGCAAGGAGTCAGTTATCAATATTTGAGTATATAAAATACTCATTTAAATTTCATTGCTGTATCTTGTAGCTGTCTTGTATTCCATAAATACCAAATTTTAACCTTTTCAAAATCAAACTAGACTTTATATCAGCGAAGAAGCAAAGAAATGATATTTTATTTTTCAATTTTGGGACCAAAAGAGCATGGATACATCAGCAATTCAAATGAAAATGATAAACATCTATATATATATATAATTCAATAGATTAAAACATTAAAGAGATCCACAAGAAGTCAAAAGACAATGTTATGTCTAATATGTATAATATAAGAGTACCATCACTGAGGAGATTTAATATGTCACATCAGTCTTTTTTCATTCTAACACTTCTCAAAAAACTAAAAATGTAAAGATAGGTGCACATAAAACATATTAAGTGATATATTTTAGGTGGTTGTTCTTATGGTGAATGGACACCTTGGTCAGAATGTACAGTCAGTTGTGGTATTGGTATCAAGAGGAGAACACAGGATCTAGCAGTAATAAGTGTTAACTGTCCTCTAGTTAATACAGAGAATGAACAATGCTCTCTTGCTGATTGTAGTGAGTATATATAAATATATCTGGGAAACAAGGTTTATGGGTTAATATCAATAGAATTGTGTTTATTAAATACTTATAGGTACATGTATATGCATCCTAATAAGAATATAGAGGTCATCAGAAATTATACTGGAACTTACCATATACTGAGTGGTAGGGATTGAGCCAGTGCAATATGTCACTATTCAAGCTTCTTTTATATATGATAAGGGTTAGAAATTTAGATTAATACATGACCAGGTTGTCTGATTATATCATTATAGTTTTTGAAACTTATCAGATGTTCGGATTGAATTAAGATGCCATTAAAACTACATCTCTAAGTGCATCAGATATTTGTCAGATCTTATTATCTCTCCACGAAAAAGTGTAATATAGCTTTCCCACATAGATTTGTGTTCTTCACATTGATGCACATACACATATAAAATTTTCATTGCAATTATCTCATCAAAGACAAATCAGAGCTTCTTTTTAATTGGTACCAGACATCACATTGGTAAACTAGACCCTTTGACACGTTTTCAGACACTTATCTTCTTCTTGTTTGCAGCATACATTAATGTCTGTATACAGATGCCTATGTAAGGAAGTTTGTCACATTTTTCTAAGCAAGTTCAAATTAGAATGTTTTGATATTTGGTACCAAGCTCTTGTTGTCTTATTGGCAATCATACAAAATCTCCTTATTTTTATATTCATACAGTGAAACCCATTTGTACATGCATTAACCTATCTAATTTATGTTTTCCAATTACAAGAATGTTCTTGTCATTGGTGCCATTATATATAAGAAATTTCAATTGCATTTTTTTCAGCGACTACAAATCATAGCTACTTGATATTTGATATCAAGTTTGGTAATCTAATATGCATGCTTAATATGGACTATCTGTTGTTTGCTTTGTTTTTTGTTTTCACTCAAATTAAGAGCAAGGCATAAATTAGTGAGTAGTGAGCATACACTACATCTTGTTTTATATAGATTACATTGGGAGAAATTATTCAGTTTTTAAGGTTTTGCGTGAATAGTATTATTTTTGTATTTATTAAATTGGACAAGAAAAAAAGGAGTCAGCACCATCTTTTGTGTCAAAAACAACTTTCATTTTCAAATGTATTCCTTTTACTTCAGTATGTGATAAAAATCACACTGAGTGGAGTAACCATACAATGTGTGAGAAGACATGTGCCAATAGATTTAACCCAATCCCCGTAGTAGAGTGCCTAGAAATAGCTGAGGGATGTATATGTGAGGATGATTACTATCTGAACCAGCTAGGGGATTGTGTCAAGGAGGAAAACTGCTCTATTTGCTATACACCAGAACCCAAACAGGTAAGTCAGCTTTTATGTAATAAGAATAGTAAAATTTATAAAAGGTCTGATTAATAGCAACTCAAAATGGATTGTGGAGGTAAATTAGATTGATATAGTTTGCTGTTTCTTTTGAAAACAGTGATTAGTAGTAGAATAATCTATAAATTGAAATTCAATGAATCTGAATTTTAGTATAAAGACTTTAAATGTTGTACTTTGATTAAATCAAATAAATAAAGAGTCTTATTCTGAGCTCAGGAACTGATAACATTATCATTGTTTTTAGGAGGAACAAATGACAATTAAATCTTTGATATGGTATTGTTTGTTATTGTTATACTTGTCCTAGTGATTTTGTTGTCTATATTAAAAATTGTGGTTAATTTATTAATCCTTTACACATTTTGAAAACACTTAATCAAATCCAAATATAACAGCCATAAATAAAGTGTTTTTATTCTGGGTCTAGCTGTTATGCAAATCATTTTAAGATTGTTACTCATTTTTTGGTTCTAATTTGACTTCCCAATTACAATTTTATGCATGTTTAATAAATTCTTTTGATGGATTGTAATTAATTGTCTTCACTTTTTATTTGTTTTTCAAATAATATTTCTTTAGAGCCCCTGTTTCTATTATAATTTAAGTTAAAACATACTATTTCTAGGCAGGAGAAATATGGACCAATCCTAATAATACGTGTGAGAAGTGTGAATGTGTTGATGGCGAGGTGAAGTGTAGCAGGACATGTCAGATACCAGTCTGTAGTAATGTAAGCATGCAAATTATTTAATTGAAAATCTGATCATGCTCATGACAAATAAATTCCTATGAAAGTTCCCTTCAAATTGTTATTATATTATGTTTTGGAGTTTTAGCAGTGCCAACTTTCTTATTTTGTTTTTCTAGTTTGCATGTGAAAGACATGGCTCCAAGAAGTAATACTTATGTTTTGTCTTTTTATTTTTATTTTTAAACTTATTTAATAAAACAAAATTCTATGACTAACTTTATTCGTGTGTTTCTTTGTCCTATATGTTCTCCCATTTATTTGTATTGTGATCCTGTCATGTGATGTTGTCGTTTTGGTGTTGTGTTTGACGTTGCCATAAAAGCGGGAGGTTTGGCATGCCACAAAACCAGGTTCAACCCACCATTTTTTTCTTAAAATGTCCTGTACCAAGTCAGGAAAATGGCCATTGTTATATTATAGTTCGTTTCTGTGTGTGTTACATTTTAATGTTGTGTGTTTGTTGTGTCGTTGTTCTCCTCTTATATTTGATGCGTTTCCCTCAGTTTTAGTTTGTAACCCGGATTTGTTTTTATCTCTATTGATTTATGAGTTTTCGAACAGCGGTATACTACTGTTGCTTTTATTTATAAGGACACTGAAAGCATTCATTGATTTTTATTATGTTGAGTTTGACCATTCTTAACATTTGTTATGGAAATGTTGCCGAACAAAGAAAACAGATTTTTCTATTTCATTGATTTTTTGTCGGTTGTCTTAGAGAAATTCAAAGATTATACCACTGCACTTACACAAAAAAAACTGTCAAAATTAAAAATGATCTAATAATTTAGGATCATATTATACAAATAAACCAATTTAAACGTTGCTTTGATCTGGGTAGCCTCATATTGATACTTATTTTAATTTGCCTTTTTAGGATGAAGAACTTGAATATGATCCAAATGATCCATGCTGTCCTGTCTGCAAACCTGTAAAAAGTAAGTGAATCGAAGATTTTTAGGATATTATCCTTACAATTAATGTTGCATATAAAAATAAGAAGATACGGTATGATTGCCAATGAGACAACTCTCCACGAAAGACCAAATGACATATAAATTAACAACTATAGGTCATCGTATGAACTTCAACAATGAGCAAAACCCATATCAGTCCGCAATAAAAGGCCCCAAAATGACAAATGTTAAACAATTCAAAAGAGAAAACTAACGGGTACATATCCAGGATTTTGAAAAAAGGGGGAGGCTCCTAGCATGACATCATTAGGAGTGGATCTTGTAAAAAGTAAATTTCTTTTATACTTTTCTTAAATGTAGTTATATCTTCAAAAATATAATAAAAATTATTTGTCACTGAGCTTGTTTTCAAGCTATAGGTTATACAAAATTCTCTTATTTTGTAAGGATTATAAAAAATATATAATTTATATGGGACAAGAAAGAATACTAAATGATGTAAATTATGAGATGTTATATCTCTTATAGAATGATTCCAGAAAATAAGAGAAAAAAATTAACGTCACTGTTTACCACATTAAAATTTTATATGTGTTGTATATCTCTTACATCTACTTGTATGCTGCAAATTAATTTTGTGTATACAGTATCTCATAAAGTTAATAGTTATTGCAATCTCCATGTGCTGTTTACTAACATGTACATTGTTGATTTTACAGCTACCTGTACATTACGTACTGATTTCAAAGTTCTACAAAGTGGAGACTGCATTACTACGGAACCAATCTTTATTAAATACTGTTCAGGAGGTTGTGGAAACAGTACTAGTACTCCCATGCTTGTTTTGACTGGACAAGTTTCCGTGAACCAGGGTATTCTCCAGGATTGTAAATGTTGTACTGGGACTGTATTGAAAACAGAAACTGTAGATGTTGTGTGTGGACCACTAAAGACTTCTGCTAAAGCACAAATAGCCATGATGGATTCATGTTCATGCAATTCATGCATTTAGTTTGGTTAGTTTCTTTTCTTATGATGAAGTTTAATGTTTATACAATGTATAAGATTTTAAAATGTACATCTTATAACTTATAAATGTGACCTCTTATTGATGTCATCTGTACAAAAGATGTATAGTGATTATCATGAATTGTTTGATCATTAATAAGACTAGTGTCAATTACAAATGACTGAAGTTTGATTTTTACCGACTTTCACTTTAAACCAACTTGGCAATACAAAGTGTGGGTTACATTATTACAAAGCCAGATAGCCTGCCCTATCACTCAGTGGGAGGTATACATCAATCACATTGTCCTACCATTAGGCTGTCCATCCACAATTTTCATTACATTATTACTTAGCTCCTGTATTATGAAAGGAATTATTTGATATTTGGTATCAAACTTGTTGATGAGGATTTCTCCCATGTAATAACATTAACGGTTCCAATTGTATTGCAACTCTCGCATTTTTAAATTACATATCTTTGTTTAGAGCCTACATTCAATTGAACCTCTGCCATTTGTAAAAATATTTTGTTGGAGTGTACATTCAATTGAACCTCTGCCATTTGTAAAAATATCATGTTTAGAGTCTACAAGTTACATTCAATTGAATCTCTTTCATTTCTATATTAAATATTGTTGTTTAGAGCCTACATCCATTTGAACGTCTGCCAATTGTATAATTATCTTGCTGAAACTTAAGTCTACAATTTAGAAAAGTTATCAATCTATATTTAGAGGCAGTAGGAATTTTATAAGCCAGTCTATTTGTGGTTGTATCATGATATTGGTGTGTCATCATCATTTCTGTATGTCTATGTACACAATTTACATACACTGTTTGCAGTTGTGTAGTGCCTGTAATCCTTAGAGCCTGTACTCCTTAGATCTTATACTCCTTTGACCCTGTACTCCATTTGACAGGGAATAAAACATTACTGATATGCATCCTTCTGTCATTCTCTAGTCTTTATGTTGTCTGGACCTTTTTTGTTCATTATGCCTTGCTATTGAGCTGATGTTTGGTCTATTTATAAGTGTATAATGTTGAGTTAAAGATCAAGGTCATTATTTGTTTCAGATAACCTTTTGTCACAGAATTACAGTGCACAGACTTAGGAAATTTCATAATAAAATGTACTTTCCCTTCTTTTTCCATTTAGTTTGTAGATATTGATTGGCACTCATGTCATTCTGAAACACCTACTGGTAATTTAAGTTTGCCTTAGGCTTAAGAACATTTGTAATTCCCACATGCTGTAGCACATTTATAGTAGGTAAACAGACAGTGTGTTGTTTGTGTTATTACATTGGTAATTGATTTCTTATAGTTTCGCTTAATCATAATAACAAAAATCAAATCAGAACGTTTAAAGGTGTCAGACCACCAATTCAAAATCTCTATCTATTCAACCAAATTTTGCAATTTTCACAGCTTTCCTAACATTTTACCTTAAGTTAACTTTATAGAAACCAGGTATATCCTGCATTGTACATGCATCACGTTTCTACATGCCCATTTCCAACCCATGTTTAAAGTCTTGTAAGAAAGAACTGCCTTTGGGAATACAAGTACTACTAAATATAACCCCTGGTTTTCTGGAAATCTTAAATTAGTATACTATGGAGTGCATTAATCCTCAATTTTTAATGCAAACTCATAAACATGTAAATTTTGGCTCAAAATGGTCTAAATATATTTTTCTTTCATCAAAAGTTTCATTTCTGCAAATTTGTTGGTTAGTTGAAGTAAACAGTGACATCAAAAGCTCTATTTTGTGTCAGAGTAGGGCTGCTTTTACATACGTTCTAAATTGGAGGGAGTGAATCGGTGGTCTGACACCTTTACACTGCCATCATAATTTTTTCTTTTTTTCTATTTCCAGAGACAGCAAGACAAAGATATCCAACAGATAATATAAACATTAATAACATTGATAACATTGTACATAATCTTGACAAATAATAAATTATAAATACATGTAAATTGTGTTAGATCATTTTGCACTGGTGGTATGTATTAAATGTTTGAAGTACATTTATAAGCAACCACACCTCATAGTAATTTGGTAATTATTTTCATTTTGGGAAAGAAATATTAAAGACTGGATTAGACAATCAGCACACTTCCCTGCAGACTTCAATACCATCGTATTGGGTGATGTTAGTATAGAGAGAGGTAACGTCAAGCGAGACAAGGATTGTTTCAGGTGGAAGAGGGTTCAAGGATTCCATTTTCTTAAGAAAGTGTATTGTTTCTTGTATATAGGATGGTATATGTTCTTCATATATGCAAAAAGTGTACAAAACAACACCAATATTGAAAAAAAGGAAACAATAAATATAAGTATCTATAAATATTTCGGATAACAGATATCCTTCATCAGTATGATAAATTAGTATCCAAAGTATGTTGCTATTGATGAGTTTTTAATGACAGAAATGATATCTTTTTCTTGATAAAACGTGGCCTTCCAGGGCTTCGCCCCTTGGAATCGCGTATAAGCGTTCTGTCTTGGACCCGCTGGGGCATGTTACGGCCACCAATATCCTAGCCGAGGTTCGTGCATGCATTTAAAATTTTAAAAATGGCCTAGCTACTGGAATTTATCCTAACAATATTTTCATTCATTATCCAACTAAGGAATTCAACAACATAATAGCTACAATTAAAAGAGTCAAGCATAGGGCATCATCAAATCATTTTTATGAGAAATTGACAAAGAAATTTTGAAATGGGTATAAGACTCCTAAAATAGAATGATGTCACAAATTAAGTTTTACATTGATGATGTTCTGTCACTCAATAACCCACATTTCAATGAGTGCTTACATATCATATATCCCAGTGTACTTGAGATTAAGGATACTACCGAATGTAAGTGATCTGTTTCATATCTTGATCTTTACCTCGATATTGACCCAGTCCTGGACGACTTCAAACTACTGAATCTGACCAACTAGATGATTTCAACTTTTCAATTGTCAACTTCACATTTCTCAGCAGTAACTATACATAATTTATTAGCAGGAGTGTATTACTTATACAAAAACTACTCTAACAGAGTTATGAGGAAGAACGACTGACATCGACACTATAAAGTTTTACGGTCATGCACAATCACGAAATATTGGTTAACGGATACGATGTATCGGTGCCTCAACTCACTAGCGACATGTTTTCGCTTGATTAATTTTTCGATACCAGTATAATTAATTTTTTGTTCTGTAATTTTGCCGATTTTGTCCAATTCCCGATTGTGATATTTTGACTGAGTGTGAATTTGGATGGCGGGTAATACATGCATGGCATGAAACGCTCTCCCTGTCGACGCAACCTGTCTTGTTTTTTTTTGTTGGAATACATGTGATTATCTGGGCCTTTGTTTGTTACCTTGATTTCACTAATTCCTAATCAATTTACTAGATCATTTAAACATCGGTGAACTACTGTCCCCTAAACATAAGTACATGTAAAAATATTTAGCTAAAAACAACGGTTATAGATTGAAATATGTACATGTATATCAAGCTAGCTATAAAATTCAAATCGTGCTGTGCTCGAGGTGCTGTGTTAAGTTGTCATTTACCTTTCTTTTGGGGTAATCATTTACTAATGACTCATGACTGTGGAACTCTCACCATTGTTTAAAATACAATGTATGGGAAAGGTTGTTAAGAGTATCCGGAAACAAAAAGAATATTCTAACAGTGTAATTAACGGTTTTGTAGGAATATGAATATATGTTTCCTATCAAATCCAGAGAAATACACATGTTTAATATAGGTGGAATCAAGAAATCGAAAGCTAGACGACTTTGCATGAACGGGATAAATATATCAACGACGTGTCAAATAAAACAAATTAAAACAGACGTATGTGAACAACATATTTGGTTTTTCTGCTATCTACTGGTGCTGCTGAAGCACACAACAATACATCAAGCAATCGGATCTTATAATTTATTGTATGATTGGTTATCATCCCTGGAATTTTTTTTTACTCTTGACGACGGAACGTTAGAAAAACAACATACAATAAATTATTCATGCTTTGGTAGATCTTGAAAGATTTTTACCAACTCAATCATACATACTAATGTAAAGATCGTTTCAGAAGTTTCTGGAAACAGCAGTGAACTACAACATCTGCTTTTATAATCATTAAAAAAACGGTCGATAATATCGCCTTTGCCTACATCCAATATCTAAGTTTTCACCAAATAAGTAAAGCATTTAGCAACAAGTGCCACCGGCTCGAAAATATGCTGAAAATGTATGAAATTGGAAACAATTTTGTACAGTTATAAAATTTAAATAAAATCTGTTGGATTGGTGCTATGTACTAACTGTTTACAGTACGTTTCAAAGCAACCACACTACGTAGTACTGCTGTCATTATTTTTCATGATAGGAAAGAAATTATTATTGACTTAACATTAAATCCATTTAATCCATTTAATGATGGGGACAATAATACTGATATTCGCACGCGGCTCATCTACAATTAAGATAGCTTGACTTCAACGAATGAACACCACTTTACTTAAAGTCGCACTTCACCAAAAGTTACAATTAATCGGGTGGATTAAAAATGTTGAAAATCGATTGATTTTGTTTATTGATTGAACAATCTGAAATATTTGAAAAAATTAAACGTGAAAAAGGTAAAACTTATAACTTTACACAGATGGAAGAGAAATGAAACAGATCTCCCGGTTAGTACCAGTTCAATAGCCAATGAACATTTTTTCATTGAAAAGATTGACATTGCCATTCAGAAGATCGAATAAAAAAAAGAATATAAGAATAAGAAGATGTGGTATGATTGACAATGAGACAACTCTCCACAAGAGACCAAATGACAATGAAATTAACAACTATAGGTCACCGTACGGCCTTCAACAATGAGCAAAGCCCGTATCGCATAGTCATCTATAAAAGGCCCCGAAATGACAAATGTAAAACAATTCAAACGAGAAAACTAACGGCCTAATTTATTTACAAAATAATGAACGAAAAATAAATACACAGAAACAAACGACAACCACTGAATTACAGGCTCCTGACTTGGGACAGACACATACAGAATGTGGCGGGGTTAAACTAGTTGAAGGCGCCAACCCTCCCTTAACCTGAGACAGTGGTGTAAAAGTACAACATAAGAACAAACTATAAAAATCAGTTATAAAAGGCTTAACTCATCAGATAGATACAAATAGAAGTACATCTAACAAAAAGTTGAAGTGGCAGGGTACTTATTCATCCCCACAACAAAAAGACACTAAGTAGAGATATGATGGTACTCGCTGTTACTGACAGCTAGTTCAAAGCCAATAACAACTAATAAAAAAATCGTTCATCTAAGACTAAAGCTAGTTCAAAAATGACATTGTAATCGTTGTAAAACTAACTTGAAATTTATTTGCAGTGATATTGAAATATGTACTGATGGGACTTATTGACTATAATTTCACTAATTAAAAACAACCGATCCCAACTCGGATAAGAAACAGTGAAGTCATTTCAGTATGTATCTTTTTATTGGTGAAAATGTATAATTTAATTTCTCGCATTTGATACAGGTTATTTAAAAAATAAATTAGCGCAATTGAGTTGTAGCGCAAATGATTACTTTTTTAGTGAAAATACAGAACGCCGCATTATACATCAACTACTCTTTATGATGTCATTTAAATTACCTTCTATCATTTATACAAAAGCTATTGGCGTAAGAAATTGAATTCCCTATGAATTTCTTTGTACAAAGTATGTATCGAAAACCATTCTAATCAATTCAAACTTACAGTTTTCTTCTCAGATATTACCCATGCAAACCGGTTGGCCTTATGTAACGGAGAAACTATATTTTGCGAAAAAGGGTTTTGATGCCATAAATTTGGCATAACTCAGTCCAATATGAAAACATCCCTACTCTATCGTCCATGTTCAAAGGCCTTTATGTTGCTAAACAATTATCAAACCTTTATGCCAAATATGTTACTCTCCCCACAGACAACAACCTAAACTATATCGTTTGTGTTTGTAGATCATAGTTATATTAACTGCTTGATAAAGGAATTAGATATTGCCAATTCACTTCGAACCCCGACTTATACTCCCACGACACGAAAAAGGAAATCCTGAACAATCATAGCTATGTGCATTGAGAATGTCAATCTTCACTTCACTTGATATCCAAATTACAGAAGTGTCTTTACAACTAACGTTATATTGCCGAAAACGCCAAATGTACCAAGGATCCTCTTAAATAATTAACATATATGTTCATCAGCAATCAAATATGGGCTTCAAAGTTACTGTGAAATTACTTACACTAGGGGCGGTATAAATTAGGTATGGGTTCTAAAATGTCTATCCTCTCATCGTAAGATAGTGTAAAAAATGGTTGTCTTACCTGTTGTGCGAAACAGGAATGGCCTAGGCAGATACACAATACTAGTATCTTTTTAAGGAAGGTTTCTGATTCAAATCAACAAAGTTTTCTGAAACTGACATCATCAAAATGTTTGATTTTTTTATGGATAACATAACTGTTACTTTTGAAGGATTTGTTTTTCAACAGACAATTGACTATTCTATTGGAACCAACTGTGCTCTTTTTCTTGTCGACTTGTGCCTTCATTCATATGAGACATAACTCATACAGAAGCTTCCCAATAACAATGAAAAGAAGATGACATTAACATTAACCTTTAACCTCACATTCCTCTTATAGATGATGTCCTTTCACTAAATGAATGTAACTCAAAGCTTGGTTGTTATGACATCATCGAATGTGACTCATCTTCATTTATTTGCAATGACTTATATGACGGATGCAACTAGTAGAGCAGGAATTGTTTACCCTGTCAGAGCTAACCCCTGATTTCACTTCCGGGTTTTTGGTGAGGTTCGTGTGATCAATCTTTAGTTTTAGGTTTAATCTTTTGT